TAACTAGGGGTCGGTAATTCAATTCTGGTCTCTGCAGGATAAAAAATAGGCCCATCAAAAATCGATGTTTGATTTACTTAACGGATTTAGGATAATACCAATTTTCAAAAAGCTGACCCAGGACAAATATTATTTTTTTTTCTTTAAGTCCATTTTCAGAAAGACGTCCCAACGATCCGAGTACCTCATAGTTACTCAAGCCACCTTGTATGAGATGGCTTCTACCCCGTGGAAGCTAATTAGAAGAGGAAGGTAGGCCAAGGCTACTCATCATCAAATAGCCTAGACCCGGAAAGCAGGAACGTGGAAAGAGGCGAAAGGAATCTGACTTGGGCCTAAGAGACCCATGCCTGGGAGACGAGGAGGCTCCCGTGTAGCGCCAACCCGTCAACAATAAATCAAATAANATATTACCAGATATTCCGGTGGCAATTGACATAATATGATTGTTGTTTGGGAATGTACAATTTAGCGTTTAGTTGGGTTTAAACAATATAGCGTCAAATCAATTACCTACTCTATCACTTGTATTTAATATACACAACACATTAATGATACAATAAATAAATAAACTCACACATACACAAATATGTATTTATAACATTGTGTCTAATGCAAGTATAACATGATAAAAAGTAACCATAAAGTGAAAAAAATTGGAAAATAAATTTTAGTACTCATATTAAATGTAATGTAACTCGAAAAATGTTTGTTTAAATGAAAAAATATAAGATTATTTTTTTGTTTATAATTGTCTTTTAAGTAAATCAAACATCGATTTTTGATGGGCCTATTTTTTATCCTGCAGAGACCAGAATTGAATTACCGACCCCTAGTTACTAGAATAATATACCAAAACGCCTACTCTACGGCACTTCCTATCTACTCTACACAACGATTACATAGATTTATATCCAACCAGAATAATTTTATTTTTTATACATTTTAAACAATTTAAAACTTACCCCAACGTTAACACGCCTTTAACTTTTAAATATTTTTGTACTAACAACTGACTTTTAAACAGCTGTTTTTTTTTAAATTATAAGTATGCCTAGTGATTAATAGTGAAAATAAATATTTACTTTGCATAGTTTCACCATAATTATTTGAACGCGTATGACTCAAGACGTATTTTGTAAAGGTTTTTTTCGTAATTTCTTCATTAAGTATTCCCAAACAACAATCATATTATGTCAATTGCCACCGGAATTTCTGGTAATCTTTTTCTTTTTCTTTGTTTTAATCCCAACTACTTGGGGTCGGCCACCCTTATCCTAAGATTCCACTTGACACGATCTCCCACATCTTCTACGCTCACATCAGCTGTCCTCATATCGCATTCAATAACATCCCTCAATCTCATTTTTGGTCTTCCTCTACTTCTTCTTTCTTCAACATTTATTTCTATAACTATTCTTACAGCTTCCGATTGTTCTCTCCTCATAACATGACTAAATCATCTAAGTCTATATTCTGTCATCTTATCCACGATTGACGCTACACTTATACTCCCTCTTATATGCTCGTTCCTTATTTTATCTTTTCTAGTCACTCGACTCATCCAACTAAGCATTTTCATCTCTGCTACACTCATTCTCTGCTCCACTTTCTTATCAACCGCCCAACACTTTGAACCATACATCATAGCTGGTCTTATTACAGTCTTGTGGAATTTACATTTTAGCCTTATTGGAATTCTCTTATCGTATAACACACCAGATGCTTCTCTCCACTTCATCCACCGCACATAATTACGTGTCTTACATCCTCGTCAATACCACCACTCTTTTGCACAACAGACACAAAATACTTAAAAATCTTCATCTCTCCATCACATCCTCGCTTATTGTCACTGACCTCCTCATTTCACCTACCTCTTGTTCCTCATTGTCACTCGTACTCTACATACTCTATTATATTCCTACTTATTGTTAAATCCTTTTCTTCAAGAGCTGATCTCCACACCCCTAGCCTTTGATTAATTTCCTCTCTATTTTCTCCTATTAACTATATCGTCAGCAAATAATATGCACCACGGCACCTCTCCTTATATTTTTTCTCTAGCAATTTTATCCATCACTATAAGTAAGGGCTTAAAGCAGAACCTTGGTGCACTCTTACTCTTACCCGAAAACCTCATCATACACATCTTCTGATATATTTATGTACCTTTTTGGGACTCCTTTTCTCATTAATGCCCACTTTAAAACCTTTTTTGGTATCATACGCTTTCTCCAAATCTATAAATGCCATACACAGTTTTTTCTTATTTTACCTAAACTTTTCTATTAGTTGCCTCACATAAAATACTTGCTTCATTATTGATTTATCAGACATAAATCCATACTGGTTTTTAGATACCGATGTCTCGGTACATATTGTTCATCAAAATCGGTCCAGCGAGAGCTGAGATTGAGCGTTCACAGACACAAAAAAAAAACACATCATTGTAAAATTAATACCTTCTCAGCTTCGCATTAATATGTCAAAAGATCACAAATCGTATCTAGTCGAAGACATTACCCTCAAAAATTGAAAAAAATTCCCTCGTTCCCCGCAAACGGGGGAAATCCCCCAAAAAATTACAAATTTAAAAATCGCTAATTTTCGATATTTTTTAAATTTTTTTTACTTAAAAGTGCCATAACTTTTTTAAAAATTTTATTTTTACTTTCATAATTTGTACTAACAAATGACTTTTAAACAGCTGTTTTTTTTTAAATTATAAGTATGCCTAGTGATTAATAGTGAAAATAAATATTTACTTTGCATAGTTTCACCATAATTATTTGAACGCGTATGACTCAAGACGTATTTTGTAAAGGTTTTTTTCGTAATTTCTTCATTAAGTAACTTACAAATAATTATTTTTTAGTATTATTTATTTATTTCTGTAAATTTTTATTCAACATTTTGAGACCAATTTCAGTATGGACAATTTAAAGGTAATATGACAAGACAAAATAATGAGTAGATATGATTAATATTATACACATACAAATTGAAGCACACAGTATCATTACGTTTTTAGTGTTTCAATTGTTAATGAAATATAATAAAAACACAGATTTTATGTTGACAAAATATGACAGATCATTTATTTTATATACATTTAATGTATTTTCATGGGGTTGAGGGTATAAACGTATGTTTCGGCGTACGGGGTCTCAAGTTCGATCCCCAGGGTGCAATCGAGATTTTTTTTGTGATTTTCTCATTGATGGTGTCTGGTCTATAGTGCAAGCTGTCATTAAAACTCATCCCGTCCATCATTGACCTAGCCAACTACCATCTTTGACTCTCGAACATGTGAAAGAGGGTCCACCGGCCTTTGTAGAGTATTAAATTTGTATCATGTTAAATATAATGCACTGTGTTACTACTGATATAACTGTTAACTGTTAAATGTTAATTATTAACTGTGGTATTATCGCACCACTATATACTGTATCATGTATCAAACATTCTAAACATTTCATTTTATAATGTTTGATCGGGGCAAAAAGGACATTTTTCTAAATATTTACATGGCGACATAATTGTAACTAGCAATTATATCACATAAAATCATATATTATAAAAACTCCATGTACTGAGAAGGGAGTAATGTAGTAATTGTGAAACTATTCAGAACCTTCGTGCGTATATGCATTTTGTATGCTTATCCATTACAAGGATTTTAGATTATTTTATACTTTACATCACTACTTCACAGTATCAATTGATATTGTTTTAGTAGTATCATTGGTTTGAAGATCGAACGCCTTGAGTATTATTTTTAACGTTTAAAGTTTTTTGTATGTATATGTTAGCTTTTGTCTTATAGCATCGATTCTTTGATTTACACGGGTACAGGATTTAAAGTCTCTTGGTATGTAGGTGCGTTTTGATAATGATGTATTGTAGTATACTATTTTTTTAAATTCCTGCTTAGCTATTAGTCATTTTTTTTATGATAACCTTAGGGTTTTGGATGATACTGGAGCTCCGGTTGTTTGTATGAAATGGACAGTCATGCTTTGCGTTAATGTTGATGAGTTGGATTGATGACTTAAGTATATTTTTTAATCTGTCAGAATTGGTCTGAGTAGTATGCTTCATCTATTTCCTCGCTTTTATCCCTACTAAGACTTAGGATGAGGGAAGGAGAGGAGAGAATTAATGTACGTGTGTGTGTGTTAGCGGATTGATGAGAATGGGTACAAATCGCGTGTCGATGGTGTAAATGTATACTGGCCGAAATGCCCCGTGTGTTGTGAACGCCTAATTTTCGTTCATCGAGGTCGCCCTTTTAGTGTTTCAAAATATAATGAAAACACTGATTTTATGTTAAAGAAAAATGACAGAATATTTATTTTAAATACATATAATATATTTATATATAATACATGTATGTCACACTATGTGACATACGTGTTAACACTGTTAGAACTGTTAAATGTTAACTACGATGTTGTCACATTCTTATACATTATAATGGACATTTGAAATATTTCATTTTAGTATATTCTAGAATCTTTGTGCGTATATGCATTTTGTGTTGCATATCCATCACGAAAATTTTAGATTATTTCAGAATATCTACACGTCGAGTTATTCATATTAATTTAAATTTGTATAGTTGAAAATAAATAAATCATCCAAGTTACCCGTGTCAATAAATAGACTGAGCAATTCATCCAACAAAACGAACTCTATGTACACTGGCGTCAAAAAAACCAAAACGTTGACAGAAGTCAACAAAATTAGATTAAAGGATCAAAATACAGGTAAATATTTTTTTAAATAATTTTCTAATAAATGCTTATAGGTAAAATTATATCAGCTACTGAAACTCGGACAAATTTAAATATAAAATCTGCTGAAACTTCTGAAATAGTAGTAAACACACAAACGACGTCTACTGTTAATGCACCGAACAATTTCACCAACACATTCATTGAAAAATTGAAGCTAACACACGAGGAAACACAACAAAAAATTTGTAACGCTGACGTTGTATTGTCTGTATTGGCAGACTTTTTTAGTGAGAAACTTCAAATGATACGGAACATTCGTAAAACTGACTCCTTTAAGGCAACTAAAGAAGAATCTAAAAAAAACCCTATCTTGGGTAATGATAAAAATAACAAGTCTTTGCCTATAAGTAAGTTAGAGGCTTTAAAAGATCAAAACGCTATGAACTTACTCTCCGATAAATCCCATTCATTCGCCTCTAAGTCAGATGTTAAAAACATTACAAATTCGGTTACTACAAAGTCTTCTTCGCATTATGGTACAGCGAAAGTCAATCTTCCATCGAATAAAGCGAAATTCGTTTCTATGACCCCTGTTAAAATCCCAGGTAGTAAAGTTTTTAATGGTCAGTCAGAACATAAAGGTCATACCGCAGTTGGCGTTTACAATATGGCACCATCAAATCAAAACAACACAAACAATAAATTTGTGTCTAGGATACCCATAAGGATCAATGTTTCAAAAAATAAAAAAATTGGTAATAATTCAATTATTTCTATGATATTATTCACGAATAAATAATATTAAATAATAATTGAATTTTTAGGGAAAAGTTCATTTAAGGTTTCAGATTTATCCTTGAACACTGACAATACATCCAATACATCCAATAGTCACGAAGTTCAATGTCGTAGATTATACAATTCTACTTCTTTATATTCCACAGTTAAGCATGTGAATACCGAAACCTATACCAAAAATTGTGTTAAAAGGACCATTAAAATAACCACATATTATTGAAATTAATGACAGAGAAGGATAACTTTAATAATTACTGTTGTTGTAATATCATGGAACTACTACCTGAAACTCTTGAATAAACTTGTTTCTGTATGAAAAAAAAATGCTACAATATTAAACACTAGTCTTAAAGATTTTATTTCATTGTTAGTCATGAACATCACATTAATATTTATGTACATTAGTTGATATTTTGACAATTTTTTGTTTGTATATGGCCATAGTAGATGATCATAATGTAGTAAAGACTTAATAAATATTTATTTATATATATTTTTGTGTAATTATTATCCGTTTATTAGATCATTCATGTATTACATAATTAATAATTGAAATAGTGACATGGAGAAGATATTTAGTTTAAAAAAAAATTTATTTTTTGTTTTTTTATGGACAACTTAGAGTGCATACATATCCTTAAAGTCTCTGGCCAAAATAAATCTATTTCAGTAAAAACAGTAGAAAACAATACGACGCTCATTATAAGTTCACGCAATTTAGATAGATGGTTTTTCATTCTACTTTTAAATTTTGATTTTATAACCGAACTTTTCCCATAATAGTGTCTAAACTATTCTATATTTAATTATTTGGATATATTTCAATGTAATAACAGAAGCTGCAAGAACAGTTATAGAAATTAATGTTAAAGGAAGAAGAGGTAGAGAAAGACTAAAAAATAGAGGGGGGGGGTATTTTACTTAATGCAATATGAGGATGGCTGATGTGTGTTATGAGATAAGAGAATTCCAATGAGATTGAAAGATAAGTTTTATAAAACTGTAGTGAGATCAGCTACAAGTATGGTTCAGAGTATTAGGCGGTTGACATGAGAATAGAGCAGAGATGAGAATGTTTTGATGGACGAGGGATGTGGTTAGAGAAGATAGGATAAGGAACAAACATATAAGAGGAAGTATATGTGTAGCGTCAATTGTGGATAAGATGAGAGAAATAAACTTGGATGGTCATTGAATGCGATATGAAGACAGCTGGTGTGCGAGTAGACGATGTGGGAGATTGTGTCAAGTGGATGTTTAAAATAAGGCAAAGCCGACCCCAAGTATTTGGGATTAAGGCGAGAAAAAGAAGAAGAATATATTTAAATGTAATACATACATAACATATAGTAGTTGAATACATTCAACTTTTATTCAATGATTTTACTTACAGATAAGACTTAGTTAAGACGCCTACGTTTAAAAATTACTATGAATATAAATTATAATTAAATTATATTAAATTATAATTAAGAATAATATTTGCATTATTGTGTAATAAAGTGAATTGAAACTGCTCTGTTGTCAAATTATTTTACACTAATAAAAATATTTTAATACCTACATATATTTTACAATTTTCTATTAAAATTAATCACAAAAACATGAATGTTAAATAATGAAAGGCCAACACTCACTAAATGAGTAAGTAATATATTGAGCTACAGTATCTTTTTTAAATTTATACAACTAATTATTCTATAGTAATTCACTTAACTGTTATACGACATGCACAATGAATTTAAATTTAAATCTTTAAAATTGTTCTTTGAACAATATTATAAATAAATTGTCTTAAACAGTGGTAATATACCAAATTAAACATAATATATAATAAAACACAGTGAAAATTTAATAAACGTACAAAAAATTTTAATTTTGGAAAATTACAGTTATATTTTTGTAATTAAAAATATTAAATAACCCTAAAATGCTCAATTTTATGATTATAAAACATATCTTAAATTTTTGTTTGACAATTCAATGATGTAATGTAAGTCAATAAAACATTTTTTTTTTAATTTCGTATAAATATTTAGTACCAAAAATTAAATTTTGACAATAATATTATTCTTATACTACATATTATGTGTTTTCTTATATTATTATTTCACTGTATTTCCATTAATAAGTTATTATAAATAAAGGTCATTTAAAACTGAAAATATACAATTTTTAAAATCTAAAATGCATTAATAAAAAATCTTTAATAATAATGAACTTATAATATTCTTATGAAAGATATTCTAAGAGTTTTTTTTATAAATACATATAAAATTGTATCTATTGTACTAATAAATATATGTATATAATTTAGTACCAGAACAGCTCTATTAGCTCCAAATATATAAGAAATAATGAATTGACAGTAATTTTAATTGAAAATCACATAATAAATAACTCATAATAGTGCATATTTTGCAACATCAAAAAAACATCTCGAATGGCTGATACGTGAGATGGAATAAACTTCACATATTTTTGTGTTCTTANGAATGGCTGATACGTGAGATGGAATAAACTTCACATATTTTTGTGTTCTTAGAAAATTTTTAGGAAAACTTAAAAAATAAATGGAATAAATTGTATATGCTTTTATAATTTATTAAATAAGTTAAAATAAATTGGTTGTGAACGTGTATTGATGCATCAAGTTTATAATACATGTATAATACATTTTATGAATCATATAAATAATTATTAATCATATTATTTAAATTTTCATTAGAGAGAATTATGGCATTAACATGAAAAACCTTTTATGTTTCAAAAGTTTTATATGCATATCTAATTTTGATTCATGACACTTAAATTTTTTTCTATGAAGAAAATTATTATAATTTTATACAATAATATTACCTCACCTATTTCCCTTGATTTCTCACCTTTCCACTTAGTTTCCTACACACAACAAATGTTAACTTTTCTCCTCTTCAATACTTCTACTAATCTCTACTTCTACCAGTTAATGTTCCAGCATATTGTTTAATGTTTATGTTTTAGTTAATGATTAACTAAAATAACTAATCAAAAAAAATTTATTAAAAAGATCTAAAAATCCATTGTTAATTCAGGAGAAACGAACAATCATTTTTTTTTAGAAATGATTCATAAAGCAACATGTTTCCAAAAAGTTTGAAATATTATAGTCTAGTTGATATAATTTTGTAATTGAAACCTTTCATATCGAACTTGATTCGTCAATAAATACTTTGAAAATATTATAAATGAATGATTTTCATTATCTGTATGGAGAACATGGAATAAGTAACTATTTAATTGATAAATTATAATTTTGTTTCAATTTTTGAGGGTAATATCTTCAATGAGATACGAATTGTAATAATTTGACGTATCATTGAAAAAAATAGGTCAAGTTAAAGCATAGAAAATAAATAATATTCACAAAAAAATACCTTCTCAGCTTTACATCGAAACCAAACCCTAAAATATAGTAAAATAATTTTTCTATGAATAAGAAATTTCTTCTCACGAGGGGCGACTACAGTGATGACATCCTTGATCATTATTGAAGTTATTGAATCTAAATGAGATAAAAATCAAATGAGTTGAAAATTTATTCTAACTTAAAAAGAATTAAGAAAAATGCAAAAAAATTTAAATAAGTTTAAATTTCTATACTATATCAATTTGATTTATATAATATTCATGAAAATCAGTGTACTCCCCTTGTCAGGCATTTTAAAATAAAATACAAAACCCAGATTTGAACAAAATAGCATATTTTTGAATACGGTAGTCATTTTCACCATGAAGACAAATCTAGAGGTCAAATTTTTTTTTTCAAATTAAAGTATATTACATAAGTTTAAATGTAAGATATATATAAAAATGTCAGTATTTCTGGAACACTTTCAAAAATTAAATTGAAAATGTCCTAGTTTCAATACGTATGTTTAAAGTTTTGACCTCCATTGTATAAAGGCGTATGATCCGATTTAAAAAAAAAGTGTGTCAGATGAAAGTGGTATATAAAAATTGTTTATAAAGAAATAATAATAATGATCCATATATTTTTCCAAAAGTTATAGCAATATAAATTTAATAATATTAAATATAAAATCGAGAATTTTTTCTCGGAAATCATACGTTTTTCTTTAACTTTAAGGTCCGTTTTCACCACGAAGATAAGTTCAAAGGTCAAATTTTTTTTTCGAAATAAAATATATTACATAAGCTTTAATTTAAGGTATATATAAAAGTGTCAGTCTTTCCGGAACATTTTCAAATTAATTTTCAAGTTAATTTTTTGTGAAAAAGTTGTCATTTTAAATCCGCCCCCGTGGACAGGTAAAGTGTCAGATTTATAAAAAAAATATATCAAAAGATAGGTAGATACTTAAGGTATCTATAAAAACAAAAATTATATTGATTCGGTCATTTATAAAGAAAAGTTATGACAGTTTTAAGTAAAAAAAATTTTTAAAATGTCGAAAATTAGCGATTTTTAAATTTGTAATTTTTTGGGAATTTCCCCAATTTGCGGGGAACGAGGGAATTTTTTTTCAATTTAAAATTGAAGGGCTTGATGCAATACTTATCAAAAAAAAAATTGTTACTTTTTGTTAAATAAATACACTAGCCTGGTAAAATTGGTCCGGTGAGAGCAGACATTATCTATAGACAGATATAAAAATAAACGCACAGCATTATAACACAATACAATACCTTCTTAGTTTCACATCAAAACTAAAAAAATAATCAAAAAGTTGTTTAATAAATCTACTCAAATAAGCGTATTATAAAATTTTAAAAATTCATGTGAAACCCAAAATAATTTTTTTAGAAATGATTTATACAGTAACATGTTACCAAAAAATTGGTAGCAATTTCGGAATATTATAGAATGGTAATAGATCACATTAATAGAGTTAAATAATTAATAAATAACAAAGTAAAATTATTTAACTTTTTAGTTGAAACCTATTATCCTATTAAACCATACCGAGCGCCGATATATACACTTTACAGCATTGAACAGGAAATTTTATTATCTACTATTTATTTATAAATGTTGCCTGGACTCGCTTCAAAACTTTGTTAAAAGTACAAAAAACTTTTATTATTATTATTTATTATTTGCAACTAATTATTTATTTTTAACCATAATTATTGCGTTGTACGTACAATTTTTTAGTTTGTAACAATATTTTGATCCTTTTTGAATAAGTAATTTAGATTTTCTATAATAAATATCAGATTTTTAAATAACAATTATACGTATTTCCACAAAAAATAAATTTTCTATGCTAAAATACAAAGGTTATTCAATAAAAACTGAAAGTAAAATTGGTAAGTATCGATAAATATATTTAGACAAAAATTATAATTATTCCTTTGCAAAGTTCCTCCCACTGAGTCAATGCAGCGGTCCCACATCGAAATCTACTTAAGGAAGTATGCTGAAAACGACTTTACGTCAAGTACCTTGAAAAACGCGCTGACGGCATCGATTATTCATGTTGAAAGCTGAATTTTCGATCTCGAAACACTTTGAGTTTGGGAATCACCTAATAGTAAAAAAACCCTGAAACTATTGTAATTATTCTATTATAAAAGATAAAAAATTTAAAAACGATACTAAACATGTCCTCAAAATATTTATTTAGATATTGGTTTCGGATATTCATGAGCTTTTACTAAAATATAAGACAAATTCGTATCATTTTAAAAAATAATTAACCACTATAAAACATTTTCAAGGTATTACATAAGTTGTTAATTTTTATTTTGGATACAATCCATTGACTTGTTACAGAAAACCCATGAGTTACATAAAACTTTTAGTAAATATGGATATACTTTGTATATTAATTACATAAATAAATAATAAAAACAATTACATACGGGGTATGAGGGAAAAACCCGTAAGATAAATATTGAAAACATGTTCTCTATTTTCACTGAACATAATTAACCCAAGAATTTTAGTGAAAAAACTAACACATTGCTTATTAGTTGCATTAATATACAGGGTGTAAATCTTTCGAACCATAGTAATATATAGGCGAGTATCCTTGGAGTGTGTAAACAATGACCTCGTTTTTTTTTTNTATATTGACATATTTTAGTTTATCAATTGATTTTTATAGTTAATTATAACAAACTACTACAATAAGAAAATATTATTGGTTCATAATAATTCCATTGAAATATAGAGTCTCTTATTGTTTTATTACATAGTCGATTATAAGTTAAAAAGAAAGTAAATTCCATTTCAGATTTAAGATCAAGGCTAAAACTAAAATCTAAAATAGACTTCCAATTATAAAAAGACACCAAATTTGTACAATTGCCGTAACGGCCCATAAAACTACGACATGATTCAATATACTTTTTTTTTATAACAAAATTAATCTTCTTTTCTTTGCAGACATCATCAATGTATAATAGTAGGTCATCAATGGGTNTAATGTATGATAGTAGGTCATCAATTGGTTCAGACCGTAATTTATATTCCAAAAAGTGTCTTTTTAAAAAAATTAAAAAATTTTTACGTTGTTGTAAAAAAAGATTAATACTACGATATGCTTTTGGCTCGGCAATCATCGATGTAAATGAACAAAAGCGATGCATGGCTGAGATTCCTATGCTTTCGATAACATTTCTAATCCAAACCATTCCTTCAAAGAGATCTTCTCTCTCGTCAATAGTTTCTTTCAACACCTGACCCAGAGACTTCCCGATGACTTCCGTAACATAAAAACCCACAGGAGCTGTTCCTCTGTAAGGTTTACTTTTATCTACGACATCAATGTCGTCATTATTGTAAAATAAATGTTCATCAATTACTTGAACAGTATCTGGATCTGTGTAAATTGTATTTGGTAATATTATCAATTCCATCAGATTTGAATTTTGTTTCCTGTACTCATTTACTTCATCATAGGAAAGGTTTTTCATATCCAGTGAATAACATATGTTAATGAATAAAACAAAAGTATAAATTGTTATATTCATTACAAAAAATCAAATGTGTATAGCTTATTATGTTAATAAGTTTAGTACTTGTTATTTAGTAAATCCAAGCTTAATTTTTTATAAATATTGCAAAAAATGATCAAGTTCATCAGATTTGAATTTTTTCTTTTTACTCCTTTAACTATTTCTGGTAGGGTTATTCATGAAAAATAAAAAAAAGTTATAATTAAACACAGTATACACAACAAAGTATACACAATGAAATATTTTTCAAAAGCAGGTGATCAAATATAAATTATAGTCAAACAATCGTTTTATACGATTATTTTTGTAGCAAGTCAATTTTTTTTAAAAACGTTTTAAGTTTAATTTTTATATTAAACTATACAGAGAAACACCTTAACTACGACTCAATATACTATCATTTCTAAACTAGGGTATGAGAAGTAGTGTGTATAAGAAATGCCTAAAGATAAAGTAAACGAACCCACATTTCACTTTCAATCATAATAATATTGTTTTAATATCATCCAAAATAATACTTCAAAAATTCTAAGAAAACGATCATTTCTTAGTTTGATTATTTTTTACTGTTTTTTTCAGCATAATTACCTATTTTTTTTTTTGCAGACGTCATCAATTGGTTCAAACCGTAATTTGTAATCCAAAAATTGGTTCTTAAAATTAAAAATGAGATTGTTTGCTTTCTTGAAAAACATTAGGTTTTTCATATCCTATAAATAACGTGATTGAATGAATAATATAAAAATATAAATTAATAAATTTATTAAAAAATACTAATTGTATATAGGTTATTATTTTAAGAAGATTAGTTCTTGTTATTTAGTAAATAAAACTATCGTAATTCGAACTTTTTAGAAATATCGCAAACGCCTTAACTTGTTACCGTATTTATAATATATATAACTGACCTAATATATATTATATATTAGGTCAGTTAATTAATAAAGTATATTATATATTATAGTGTAATATAAAGTATAATATATATTAATAAAGCATTAATTTTAGAATTTTAGAAAAATTACAAAACCGTAATAATTGAGTATTTAAAAATAAAAATAATTATATAATGTTGACATAAAAATGTCAACATTATATAACTTCTTTTTTAAATACAATTGTTTAAAAATTCCTTCGTTAAAGCTTATGTAATAAACTTAAATTTGGAAAGAAAAATTTGTCCCAATGACTTATCTTCTATGCGCAAATGGCTACCGTAGTTAAAACAACATGATATTTTTATGTTAAAATATTCGATTTTTAATTATCGACTTTAAATTGCTATACAATTGTTGAAAAATGGATGGATCAATACAATTATTTATAAATACGATTAGTTAGATGAAAGTAGTATTTTAGTGATAATTCATCGTTTTTGAGTTGTTATTTTTATTAAAATTTATCATAACTTTTTAAAAAATGTATGAATGATAAAAAAATGTAAGTTAAAATTTGACACGAAGACTGGTTTTCTCTATGTAAACGTTTTTCAAAGTTAAACAAAACAAGTTAAAAATAACTGATTTCCGTGTTGTTATAATTTTTATTCCATTTTTTTTTTTAAATTATTTATGCCTATATTTATATATTATATAATATGTATATATTCATATAGAATAAGTAGGGATAAATACTCCCAACCGCCCCTTTTATAAATATAAAATGAAATAAGATTTAATTGATAAACATATTATTAATAAATACTATTAATTTATATTTTAGGGATGATTTTTGCCCCTTTAATTGTCCAACCAACAAATTTATTTAATTAATCATAAATAATATAGTAATGAGTAATTATTATTACAAGTAATAATTCAGTATATAAAAAATATAAGAAATTCTCTTTTTAAAAAAAATCATCTAGTTACCAATGAATTGTTATTAATTACGATGTCAATATCATAACTGAAATAAAAATAACAAACTAAAGTCGGAATAATTTCAATTAATAAAATTAACTTTGTCTTTTTTTGCTGTTTATAAATACATACATATAATTTTCATGTACGTTTGCCATAAAAGTATCCAAATATAAAACAATTTTATAATTTTTTCTAATTTATCCGTAAAAATTACAATACTAAATTTAATTACTATAGTAAGTATCTAGTAAAATTTTTACTTATAGATCATAGAAATTTTAATCAGCGCATAATTAAGGAAATAGGAGTTCAATTTGATTTTGAAATAATCCAATAATTCCTTCTAAAAATTAAACACTACATATTTTCGTCGATGCGATTTTTATGAAAGTGATTTTAATCATTCTCAGATATCATCTAAACTTATCTCAACTATGATATGCTCCCATTGAGCTAAGTTTTTATATTTTTCTCCTATATGAAAAAAAAAATTAATTTTTAATTTTTTCTGACAAAAGTTGTTTAAAAATAAATACATTTCTGTATATCTAAAAAAAATACAATGTTCTAATTTAAAAATGTTTTTCTTATAAATTGCATATAGTTATCAATTTCATTGGTATTGACAAAGTGTTCGATTTGCGCAATTGTTTTCAACAAACACTATATTATTAAAATGGTCCTTAATATATAAATACGGTAAATGAATTAAGACCACTGTGATATTTATAAAAAATTAAGCTTGGATTTACTAAATAACAAGTACTAAACTTATTAACATAATAAGCTATACACATTTGATTTTTTGTAATGAATATAACAATTTATACTTTTGTTTTATTCATTAACATATGTTATTCACTGGATATGAAAAACCTTTCCTATGATGAAGTAAATGAGTACAGGAAACAAAATTCAAATCTGATGGAATTGATAATATTACCAAATACAATTTACACAGATCCAGATACTGTTCAAGTAATTGATGAACATTTATTTTACAATAATGACGACATCGATGTCGTAGATAAAAGTAAACCTTACAGAGGAACAGCTCCTGTGGGTTTTTACGTTACGGAAGTTATCGGGAAGTCTCTGGGTCAGGTGTTGAAAGAAACTATTGACGAGAGAGAAGATCTCTTTGAAGGAATGGTTTGGATTAGAAATGTTATCGAAAGCATAGGAATCTCAGCCATGTATCGCTTTTGTTCGTTTACATCGATGATTGCCGAGCCAAAAGCATATCGTAGTATTAATCTTTTTTTACAACAACGTAAAAATTTTTTAATTTTTTTAAAAAGACACTTTTTGGAATATAAATTGCGGTCTGAACCCATTGATGACCTACTATTATACATTGATGATGTCTGCAAAGAAAAGAAGATTAATTTTGCTATAAAAAAAAAGTTTATTGAATCATGTCGTAATTTTATAAGCCGTTACGGCAATTGTATAAATTTGGTGTCTTTTTATAATTCGAAGTCTATTTTAGATTTTAGTTTTAGCCTTGATCTTAAACAAGAAATTAAATTTACTTTCTTTTTAACTTATAATCGACTATGTAATAAAACAATAAGAGACTCTATATTTCAATGGGATATCTATGAACCAATAAAATTTCCTTATTGTAGTAGTTTGTTATAATTAACTATAAAAATCAATTGAGAAACTAAAATATGTCAATATATTTTGTATTAATATTATATATTTATGTAACTAATAAGCAATGTGTAAGTTTTTTCACTAAAATTTTTAGGTTAATTATGTTCAGTGAAAATAGAGAACATGTTTTCAATTTTTTTCCCTCGTACCCCGTAAATAGGGAAAATCTTCAAAAAAAAATTACAATTTTAAAAATCAGTAATTTTTGATATTTTCACTTTTTTTCTTAAATCTGCAATAACGATTTTAAAAATTTAGAAATCAACATAATTTTTTTTTAAGATACATATGATATTTTCCTATCATTTGGTGTTTTGTATGATAATATGGGTTTGAAAATACAACTTTTCTTCAAAGAATAAATTTTTTCTTTTTAATTTTATACATTTTTTGAAAATAATGACACATTTATATATATAGATCTTAAATTAAAATTTATGCAATATACTTAAATGTAAAAAAAATTTGATTTTCTGCATTTGTCTTTGTGGTAAAAACGAACAATTACGTTGAGATGTTTTGACTTGACTTGCGTCGCAATAATGTAGTCGACACTGGTTTTGAGGGTAGACTCGTGGGCCGGTTATTGTTCAACAACAACAGGTTATTTATAAACAAACAAACCGAAAAGACGAATAAAGTTAACAATAATAATCGCGGCTCTTTCGTTGTCGTCGGCGACGAGGAGTCCAACTCGGACGTCAAAAAGTTAGCAGCGTTGATGGCGACGGTACGCGGGTGTGTGTCGGTTCAGCGATCCGGTCGTGCGACACGTCCGTAGTCGGTGTGGCGTACATCCTCGACGTTTCCACTTTAACAACGAGAAGAAGACTCAACGTATCATTTACGGCGGGTCGTCGTCGGTCGTGCGGCACTTGTTGGACTTTGGGCCGTGGCGTATGGCATGCGGTAAGGCCAAGGTGTCTCCCGGAGCGCAGCCCGTTAGTGGATGAGATTCCTGCAAACAAATCTCAACCACTGTCGGGCTGCTTAGGACCTGGTCCGGCGGGTGGCATATGAGATGGGCACTGACGTGTGCATCATCTCGGACCCGTACGCCGGATTGTTCCGGGACTCTGCCGGTTGGTTATTGGACCGGTCCAGTAGAGCGGCGATCGGCGTGATGGACCGCGGATTCACAGTCACGGACATCGAGTCGGGCGTTTGGTATAACTCTTATATATCTCTATATAAGAGTTGAACAATTGAAAAAATCATCACAAAGTCAAAAATAAAGATGTCTAACTACAATTCATTATTTTATATCAAATCTCTATGCTTATAGCCAAACATTGCTTTCTTTTCTAATGAAACTACAAGAAATCTAAATTTCAATATACTACACGAAAAAAGTAAAGGTAATAAATATACATTTTTAATTTACAAACATACAATAATAATAATGATTATATAATATATTTTAGTAAATTATATTTTGTATTATAATTATTGTATCACAAAACATTGAGCAAATTCTTATGTTTAATTTAAATTAAAAATCGTTGATAATAAATTTATGAATATACTTACATAGATATATGTAATAATATATGTATTATTTTACATTGTTATAAAACTAAAACATACCATAGGCATAAATTATAAAAAATATATTTACATAAAAATACATATAATTTCTAAATTTTAAGGAGGCTATAGCAAGTTTTCGAGAAGCTAAATCCTTCTAAGTTCCCAAACTTATGTCTATGAATATTTATTTACTTAAACAAGATTATTTACACTTCTATTCAATCAATAACATTAAAATCAGTGAAAATGTCCATTTTTCCTAGAGAGTCGATCGTCACGATAATTTTTTTGTGCGGGTTGATTTATGTCCTTAGGGACATAACTTTTATGTCTGTTTTCGTCGCTTATAAATATGCTATTATGATAACTCATTTTGTTTGATGACGGAATCTCTTGTCTGTAGGATTTTCGCCAACCATCCAAATATTTACGTCGTTGTAATTCTTCCTCGGCGGCTTCTCTACGTTTTTTTTGTGATTTTGATGAATTATGTTCACTTGTGTCATCAGATATTCCTAAGCCTAAATCTTTTTCTATTTTGGATATTACAGGCTTATCATAATAATTAATTATTTTGCTTCCATCAATAGAATTAAGAGGATGATGCAATGATGGATGCGGTATAGAGTAAGAATTAAAAAATGATTGGTGAATTATTGATTGCCTTTTTCTTTTACTACTAGTACAACAGGCTCCTGGGCCAAATAATGATAAGAGTACTGGTAAAAGTAGCATTCCATGCAATGCTCCAAAAACAATCACTAAGAATATCATCTTAAAGAAAACCATAAATATATAACTACCAGCTAGAATTAGCGCTGCTACACCAAGAATAGTACTTATAGCACCTTGGATAATAGGCAATCCTAGTGCGTATAAACTTTCCCGTACCCGATCTTTTGGTGAAGTTGCTTCAGAAGACATATATGCATAACATATATGTGCGGTAAAATCTACTGAGAATCCTATACACATTATAAGGTTTACCATGGAAATTGTGTCCAAATTAACATTCCAAAGAGCCATATATCCGACAACTCCAAGTTCAATGGATACTATTGAAAATGCCACCCACAACGAACATAATATGTTTGGTATAAACAAAAATGAAATCAGCATCATAGTTGCACCACCAACCAACATTGACTGAATGGATGTAGGGCGCACAAGTTCAAACTATTCAAAAAATTAAAATTAGAAGTCTTATTAATTAAATTGCATTTTAAAATAAAACAATGTGAGTACACAAGTTAAATTATTATTCGCAAAAAATTAATACTATAAGACTAAGAGATAAAATTAGTTCAACAAAATAATAATAATTTATCTATCATATATTCTATGATATAGTACCTAATTAAAATCACATTGTTATGGTTAAAGTCTGAAATCATTGAATCGAATATAGTTTTACAAACTACCTGATCGAAAAACACAAAGTATGGATGAAAAACTGTAACGTTCAACGGAGACTCGTGCGCAATTCTTCTCAATTCTTTTACCATATCTTTTTCTATATTTGCATTACTAATGTTTACAGCTTGAATCATAAGACGGGAAGCTATAATAGTAGTCTTGTCTTCATTGAATTTCACATCCAACGAGAAAGGATTAGGATTAAATAGCCATAACTTTATAATTAAAAAAAAAACATTAGATATTAATTTTTTATTTAAAAATATATTTTTCTAAATTAAATACCTCAGTTAATGTTTTTATAAAGGACTCCCTTGTGTCGATCGTTATGTTAAGTTCCTCTTGATTTCTATCTATGTAATTTAAAAACGAACGAATCCATGATTCTGTATATATTGGATTAGATATAAAACGTGAACTTTCGAAAGCTTCAGTCAAGTTTTCTATTTGATTTTGAACTTCAACATTCCAGTAGTCTAATTCACCATTAATTACCACCTATAATCATGAAAATTAGCTGACCTATTAATGTTTTGTCGTTTGAAACAATAAATAAATGTTGTGAAAATTTAATTTCTTTTTAAATTAAAATAAACTTCAGATTCCATAAAAATAGTCAAATAATTATTTTTAAGATACCTGAATTCTATATGGAAATTCCCTGAAGTAAAAATCATCCCTTTCATAGAATTCAATAGAATATGAATCGGGTCGAGATAACTTATTTCTCTGCAAACCTTCTTGTATAGTTGTAGTACCATATATGGCCCCTGCTAAATATCCAGCAAAAGCTAGTATAACTAGGATTTTCATATACCATTGATTCAAAGCCCAACCTAAGCTATCACGACACCATTCCATTATAGCGTTTTCTGGATTGTCCAGAAGGTTATCTGGATCTTGTGGATTGATTCCACCCGCGCAAAATATTCGATATAACCACGATTCTTTATCTAAAAAATGCTTGAGTTATTGAATAGTACAATAAAGATTATTTTTTTATTTTCTATACTTGATAAAGAATTAGGTTTGACTTTCATGCAGGTGATTGAATGTCGGTTACTCTTTTCTGCATACCCTGCTATTGCCATACATGCAGCAAAGAATGTCAGATGCCACACAAAAATAAAGCACACAGCAAAACCTAATAGTAATATTCTAGGTGATAATATTTTATCAATTTTGTTATACATTTTTGGGTGATAATACCTGAATATAAGCAGAAAATTTGAATGGCTGGGAAAGGACTGAATTTACCTATACAAAAACTGACAATATCTGTGACTGAAGTTATAGTTATAGACACAGCGGCATCGGAAAGAGTCCTTGCAAGTCTTTCTGGAACATCTAATGTTACAGGGGTACGTCTCCACGCAGCCAGCATTACGAATGTATCATCAATACCTATGCCTACGGGTAAAATAAATGAATTAAAATTAACTCTATTACTAATGATATTATATCAAAAAGAAAAAAAAAACTTAGTTAATTTATTGAAAGAGATAAAATCATAAAACAAAATAAACTAAATTACATCGTAAATCATTTAATTTTGTTTTATGTAAGAGCAAAATTAAAATCGAATTAATAATATTTACTATAGTATTTGTTACTAGTAAATCATTTACTTAATTAAACGGCTATTAAGATAAATAATTATATGTGTACTTACTACACATGAGAAATGGAGATACAAAATTAATGCCAATAAACGGTATACCCATGTAAACGGCACACCCAAAAGCAGCTACAGTAGCCATTGCCGCGGACACGTTACCCATCAATCCCAATACTGGTTTGCTCCGTACCCAATCAGTCATCATACAAGTAACTACTGAGAAAACTGCCATCAAAATAAACGCTGATGAAAAGTATGGTATTACGGTCCTTGTATTATTTTCTAGTTCAATGTCTAAAGTTCGAGACGCAAAACGTGCTGTCGATATGTATTTAAATCTTTCCGAACTTTCAGCTCTGCCGACAGCTTCAAGGAATGCATCTTCCCATAAAGAACCTCTGTAAAATAAAATGAGAATTTAAATTTAAATTTCTAAATATAAAATAAGTTGAAATAAAACATTCAGATCTGTTAAAAGCTACACATATACAGTGTGATATTTTTTTGTTAAATGATTTCTCCATAAAAATGTACAAAATAAACAAAAAAAAGAAATGGTGGAAAGGTTGAAATATAATAAAATATAAATAAAAATGAGAAAGTTTTAGAAAGGAAAGTAAATGGTAGCTGAACAGATAAAGACAATGGTCAAATAAATAAAATAAACATAAATGTTTATGACAAAATAATAGATTGATGTCGGGGGTTAAATATTAAATGATGTTAAATATCCTTCACAAAATTTTATAATTTATCTTAATTAATGTCGTTAATGGTTTAATATGCAATAAATTGCTTTTGGCTTGAAAGCATGAATAAAACTTGCACTTACTTTATATTCTATGTCACGTAACGATATTTTTAACAATCTAACGTTGATTGAGAAAAGCTCACAATGAATATCTATCATTAAATAAACACTCAAAGTTGGATTATAAAAATAAATCATTTAAAAATTTATCGTTTAAGATATGAATTGACATTTATTTCCGTGATAAGAAAAATAAAACATTATTGTTTAATGAACAAATAAACAAATAAAAACTTCACCAAAACAAAATTCACTTGAAATGTATTACAAATTCTGTTTATTTAAAAAAAATATTTTAAGTCCAAATTAAATAAAAAAATACTTATTCCCAGAGAGTAAGAATCTTGAGTAGAGTGTCGCAGGTTGTATGTACTTTGAAATTACCGAAAGAACTGATTTAAATAGGAAAAAATGAATCAGAAAAAAGAAGAGTAGCGATCCCTAGAGTGAAGCTGATAATTTTAATTGTTAAATGTGATTGGTTGGACTTAATAAACTTGATATTCATTATGGTTTATAATAATAAATCAAATTTAAATTTGTACATTTTTATGAAAAAATCATTATTTAGCGAAAAAAGAGGGGGTATTATTTTTAAAAATCACACTGTATATTTTTTCAGTTACGCTAAGTCAAAAGAACAAAATTGAATTTATTTGTATATTTCTGCGATAAATTTAAAATTAAATCCTCCAAAAAGAGGCACCTAACTTAATTAAACTAACGATTTAACGATTAATGCCTAGACTAAAATATATTTTAGTCTAGGCATAAAATAATATATATTATTTTATAATGCTATAGACGAATTTTATATTCTTTCCTTTCATTTTACATTAAATTTGTACATTTTTAAATGCTTATTATACACTTTTTTTTTTTAAATAAATAGTTTAATATGTCCAATTAAATACATCATTATGATAAATAATATGTTTATTTGTCATGATTATATTAAAGTTAATATAATCAGTGTGATTATATTAACTTTAAATAGTACAGTGTGTACTATTTAATTTCTAAGTTTTCAGAAAGTAATGTTACAAAACTTGTTATGGACCCGTAAAAATTTTATTTGGTAAGTATTTGCAAAAAATCACACTTTTCATTTAGGTATACAAAATTTCTATATTTATTGTTTATAGGTTGATAGATATTAAAAAAATGTCCCGTGTTTCCTTCAACCACACATCACGTTATCAACCAATATGAAAATGTATTGAGAACTATATAATAAGTGTATGGTGGCCTAGTGTTAAGGTTTGTCTCCTCGACGCCTTGGTCGCGGGTTATAATCCTGTCTTTTTACACGCGATTTCCGGTACACTCTCTATGACCCGGAAGTCTTGTTAAATATATATAATTTAAATAAATACGTTTTTATATACCTTTGTTCTTGATATTTTGTATCAGCAGTTACAAAGTAAACAAGCTGTAAAGCAGGTACTCTAGTTATGACACCATCTTCATTAAATTTAGTACGTCCAAAAAAGATAGGAAAAGTATGTGCATCCCAAGTAATTGGGTTAAATGTAATAGGAAATGTTAGCTTTACTGATCCATTGACTATATCATCAATTATATAATCAAGATTTAAAATATCATTAGGAAAACATTGATCGATCCACCGAGCACAAATATCGTCATACTTATAGACAGAATTCTCTGGTCCCCAAATTACTGTGGCGTTTCTTACTATTTCATCTAATATTCGAAGTTCTTTCCATATTTCAGCCGATAACATATTGTCGCCATTTTTAGGTATAACAATTATACGACCAAATCGTCCTAAAATAATTTTAGAAAAATTCAGCTACAAAACACATATTTTATTGAATACTAATTACTATTTTATTAATTTATTTAGACATAATTTTGAATTTATATTAATTCTATTAGAAAGTTTTCAAAATTTCTAGAATTTTTTTGATGAAAAGGATACAAAATATTATAATGAAATAAGAAAAAAGGATTTTTATAAAATAGTTCCCATACTTTTATTTATGTTAAAGCTTAAATTTTTATTGATGTCTAAATAAACAAGTTATTATTTTTACCTGGTCTTGTTATTCGCGTAGGATTAAAAAGTGAAGAGTAGTTCATTTTGAAATTGCTTTCAATAATTGCCCGTTCTGTTTTACCGGGTCCTTTTTCTGGACTAAACAAATATTCTGGGTCTATTTCAAAGTGTATTCTTTGAAAACCTGTGATGCAAATAATAGTCAAGAGTAATGGTATTATTAAAAAGTATCCTGGATGTCGAGCCACTGTTAGACCTAATCTGTAGAAAGCTTTTGTTAGCCATTTATCAATAAACTCAATTCCACAAGCCATAATTTCTGAAAAAATAATTTTGATCACATAAGTCATGAAATACATTAGTTTTTATATATATATATGTATTATGATAAGTTATGGTTGTGACTTCATATATCAAGTACATAAATGATGTATACAAATAATAATTTATCTATTAATTATTAAGTTATATTCAAATCGCACTAAGCTAATTTTAAATGGATATTTAAAACATTTTTTTTTTATATCCTATTTTTTGTTTATATACAAATTTATATTTAAATGTTATCAACTTAGGTCTGTCATAAAATATATTATAGTAAAACGTATAAACCGCTAATATGTAGTTTCTAATTCTAGTTTCTTTCTTCATATGAATTACTAATATATATACATAAATAATACAATGCATACAATGAATACTGTCTATCAGTTGTTTTACAACATATAGACTTCTGTCTTTTTGTTATTTGGAGTAAGTGCCTTACACTTTTACACTTTTAAATTATATAATCTTTGATAGAAAAAAAATCGACAGAACACTTTTTTTAAACCTAAATCACATTGCATTGCAACCTTAACTCAATTACTTTTAAAAGGGATCGACATTTTCTGAACGTTATTAAAACACAAAACTTTTTAACATAATCTATATTTATATATAAAGATCAATTTTACTTATGTTATTAACCGAATTTTCAAAAAAATATATTTATATAAAGTTATTTTTGTCCGTTTTTTAATTAATATTTTTTAGTTTTAAATTCATATTTTGAATATGTTTTTAATTTTAAATAATATTTGTCATAAATAATCAATTCTTATTTTAAATACAATAACAATAATTTTAACTTAAACAATGTTTCGGGATCTTTAAGCGAGATTGCTAAAAATAAAAATGTTGAAATCAATAGATTTAAAAACTTTCAGAATTCACTTGCAGACCATAAAATAATTCATCAATCAATTGTTGAATGATTGGAATACTTTTATTAATAGGCAATGTTGAGCTGTATCGTTTAAAAATAATTTAATTTCAATTTATTATTTATTAGAAAATTCAATTTACTTTGTAAATTTGAAAATTATAAATTAAAATACGTTATTTTTTTTAGTTTTAGTTATTATCGAGGTGGACATAATGCCCATGCACTCAGACCTGTTAGTCCATTGTGCGCACCACAAAATACGTTATAGAAAATAAAATCATTAATATTGGTCAACATATTATTGAAGATCTTTTATAGATTTGAATTTATTTGAAAAAGAATTTACATTCTACATTAAGCTTATTTAAAATAATATATACAAAATTATTTCATCTTTCAAAAAATGCAATCATTTATTCCTCAGTAAAAAAACAAGAGGCATTTCAAATTTTTCCAATACATTTACGAAAACAAATTTTTTAATTGTATTTTTTTCAATTAATGGATGGAAGCATATGTCATATAATATATTATTAGTGGCATTTGTGTTTTAGCTGTTGAAGAAGTAAATAAAATTGCATCATTCGTTTCAGAATTAAAAAAATTTCAGCATTGTATTGAAATAGCAAAAAAATGTCATAATTTATATAAATATATATAATAAAATTAACTTCATAACGAATGCTATTTTTGTGTGATAGTTCTCGATTTTGTATTTTATATTTTTAACTTTAGAATGCAATAACTTATTGAAAAATGTTAGATCAATAATATTTATATCCCCCTTCTTCATTCGACATACTTTATCTTAATCAGGATATTAATAAGGAAATAACAGATCATGTAGCTTTTAGAATAATCCGCCAATGTTTTAAAAGTAAACACTATCTAAAGATTTGCATCGAAGCGTTTTTTTGATAGTGATTTTAATCATTGTCAGATATCAATATACTTGACCCAACTATGGCACGTCACCACTGTGCGTCGACTCCCTGTGCTGGGTTTTTTTTTTTTTTACTTAAAACTGCTATACATTTTTTAAAAATAACCAAATCAATTTAATTTTTTTTTTATAGATGAATTTATAAATTATATATATTTAGATGATTTTTTAATAAATTTAGATTTATTTAACCTTTACCTGACCATAAGGAGGGAATTAAAAAGACAATTTTTCAGCTTAACTTTTGAAAGTATTCTGGAAAGTTTGACACTTTTATATATATCTTAAATTAAAGATAATATAATGTACTTTTTGATGGAAAAAAAAAATTCGAACTTTATTTTGTCTTGAAAATGGCTACCGTATGCTTTTTTTGTGTTAAAATTCTCGATCTTATATTTTACATTTTTAACTTTATAACGCTATAACTAATTGAAAAGTGTATGGATCAATAAATTTTTTTGATGAGAATTAATATTTATATTCCTCTTTCATTCAACAAATTTTATCTTAATCAGGATATTAATAAGGGAATAGCAGATCATTCAGCATTTGGAATAATAAACAAGCATTTTTATGATAGTGATTTTAATCACTATCAAATATCATTATACTTGACCCAACTATGCCACGTTACCACTGTGCTGTGTTTTTTTCAAAACAGGATATCTCAAATGTATAATAAATAAGTCATTATGTGGTTCAGTTCACCAATTACAAGTTCGTTAAAAAAAATTCATATCATATTCACAATTTTTTAAGCAAGGAACAATGTCAAATTATCTAAAACAAATCGATGCATCGTAGTGATCCCAATACTCTCTATTATATTGTATATAAAAGTAAATTAAATATTATGATAATAAAATTCTGTACACTAGTTTTGCTGTTACAAATAAATATTATAAGGAGAATTAAAAAAATTTAATAAGTCAATTGACACATTCACATTAATCTTATATCAATTCTTTTTTCTTATTTTTTAAAAATAAAAATTATTTTTGTAGTTTTAAAATACAATAATAAATATGTCTACGTGTAGATTTAATATTAAAAACATATGTATTTAATAATTTAAAAAAACCATAACTATAGAATTTTTACATAATTTTAACTTACATTCTTCTACAGCTTTATCTTGTAAAAAATTACATAATCGATAATTTGTGAAGGATAGTGTGAAAAATAATTCATTTCTTAAACTAGTACCATGATCAATGTTGTAAATAGACGAATAATCAAACAATTTCACCAAATTTATACATTTACTGTAACGATTCATAAAATTACCACATGATTCAATATATTTATATTTTACAGAGAAATTAACTTTTCCTGCATTTATAACATCATCAATGTATGATAGTAATTCATCAATTGGTTCAATTCGTAATTGATATTTCATAAACTTTCCTTTTAAAAAATAAAGAAATTTTTTACTTTGTGCAAGAAGAAAAACAATGCGACGCGATGCAATTGGTGTCGCAATCTTTGATGAAATCACACAAAAGCGATACATGGCTGAGATTCCTATGCTTTCGATAACATTTCTAATCCAAACCATTCCTTCAAAGAGATCTTCTCTCTCGTCAATAGTTTCTTTCAACACCTGACCCAGAGACTTCCCGATAACTTCCGTAACGTAAAAACCCACAGGAGCTGTTCCTCTGTAAGGTTTACTTTTATCTACGACATCGATGTCGTCATTATTGTAAAATAAATGTTCATCAATTACTTGAACAGTATCTGGATCTGTGTAAATTGTATTTGGTAATATTATCAATTCCATCAGATTTGAATTTTGTTTCCTGTACTCATTTACTTCATCATAGGAAAGGTTTTTCATATCCAGTGAATAACATATGTTAATGAATAAAACAAAAGTATAAATTGTTATATTCATTACAAAAAATCAAATGTGTATAGCTTATTATGTTAATAAGTTTAGTACTTGTTATTTAGTAAATCCAAGCTTAATTTTTTATAAATATCACAGTGGTCTTAATTCATTTACCGTATTTATATATTAAGGACCATTTTAATAATATAGTGTTTGTTGAAAACAATTGCGCAAATCGAACACTTTGTCAATACCAATGAAATTGATAACTATATGCAATTTATAAGAAAAACATTTTTAAATTAGAACATTGTATTTTTTTTAGATATACAGAAATGTATTTATTTTTAAACAACTTTTGTCAGAAAAAATTAAAAATTAATTTTTTTTTTCATATAGGAGAAAAATATAAAAACTTAGCTCAATGGGAGCATATCATAGTTGAGATAAGTTTAGATGATATCTGAGAATGATTAAAATCACTTTCATAAAAATCGCATCGACGAAAATATGTAGTGTTTAATTTTTAGAAGGAATTATTGGATTATTTCAAAATCAAATTGAACTCCTATTTCCTTAATTATGCGCTGATTAAAATTTCTATGATCTATAAGTAAAAATTTTACTAGATACTTACTATAGTAATTAAATTTAGTATTGTAATTTTTACGGATAAATTAGAAAAAATTATAAAATTGTTTTATATTTGGATACTTTTATGGCAAACGTACATGAAAATTATATGTATGTATTTATAAACAGCAAAAAAAGACAAAGTTAATTTTATTAATTGAAATTATTCCGACTTTAGTTTGTTATTTTTATTTCAGTTATGATATTGACATCGTAATTAATAACAATTCATTGGTAACTAGATGATTTTTTTTAAAAAGAGAATTTCTTATATTTTTTATATACTGAATTATTACTTGTAATAATAATTACTCATTACTATATTATTTATGATTAATTAAATAAATTTGTTGGTTGGACAATTAAAGGGGCAAAAATCATCCCTAAAATATAAATTAATAGTATTTATTAATAATATGTTTATCAATTAAATCTTATTTCATTTTATATTTATAAAAGGGGCGGTTGGGAGTATTTATCCCTACTTATTCTATATGAATATATACATATTATATAATATATAAATATAGGCATAAATAATTTAAAAAAAAAAATGGAATAAAAATTATAACAACACGGAAATCAGTTATTTTTAACTTGTTTTGTTTAACTTTGAAAAACGTTTACATAGAGAAAACCAGTCTTCGTGTCAAATTTTAACTTACATTTTTTTATCATTCATACATTTTTTAAAAAGTTATGATAAATTTTAATAAAAATAACAACTCAAAAACGATGAATTATCACTAAAATACTACTTTCATCTAACTAATCGTATTTATAAATAATTGTATTGATCCATCCATTTTTCAACAATTGTATAGCAATTTAAAGTCGATAATTAAAAATCGAATATTTTAACATAAAAATATCATGTTGTTTTAACTACGGTAGCCATTTGCGCATAGAAGATAAGTCATTGGGACAAATTTTTCTTTCCAAATTTAAGTTTATTACATAAGCTTTAACGAAGGAATTTTTAAACAATTGTATTTAAAAAAGAAGTTATATAATGTTGACATTTTTATGTCAACATTATATAATTATTTTTATTTTTAAATACTCAATTATTACGGTTTTGTAATTTTTCTAAAATTCTAAAATTAATGCTTTATTAATATATATTATACTTTATATTACACTATAATATATAATATACTTTATTAATTAACTGACCTAATATATAATATATATTAGGTCAGTTATATATATTATAAATACGGTAACAAGTTAAGGCGTTTGCGATATTTCTAAAAAGTTCGAATTACGATAGTTTTATTTACTAAATAACAAGAACTAATCTTCTTAAAATAATAACCTATATACAATTAGTATTTTTTAATAAATTTATTAATTTATATTTTTATATTATTCATTCAATCACGTTTTTTACATATTGATCATTTGAATCGGTCGAATGAGAGGTGAGATATTTCATGGACAAACATCGAAAAACTAAAATGACTACATTGACTACAATATGAATTATTAATGAGTACTAAGACCCCAACAAGATAGATAGTTTTTATTATGATAGCTAATGAAAATTAGTACTTATGAACTGATTAAAAATTGGCTGTAAAAGACAAAACTCACAAACAAATGAATTTTGTATCACCTAAGTATCAAAAGGGTTTGAAAGAGACTTTTCACTCATGTACAAAAGTTTTTTTCAGATCAATTTTTATAACGACTTTATTTTTCAACCTATATCAAATTAAAATTTTTGAAGTGTGCTACAATATTAAAAAAAAATGTATACCAAAAATTTTTCTTTTGTGATTAATTGACTTCTAAGCTAATATAAAATATAGTCTATAAGGTATAAATTTAAAATAGTGTTCATGTTTTTTACAATCTATAATACAGATACGTTTAAACTACAGTCTAATGATTCATTCAAAACTCTGTAAAAGATACCTGGAGATTTATATAATTATTACTATTCGACATACCAAGTATAAATTAAACTTGGCACCATAAATGTATAATATTAGTTATTTCCTATTTGAATGTTTTGAATTCAATCAGTATACAATTGATACGCAGATTTTCTAAGTGTACCCGTTGTGCTCCACTTTCGTTAACCTATTTATTTTTAGTAATTAAATATTTTGTCAAAAGAGCAAAACTAATAGTGAAAATATACGATTTTACTTTAATAACTTTTAAATACTTTTAGTTAATTTGTACTTAATATTACGAAAATTACAAGAACTATTCAAATAAAGAACTATTATAAGGACATAAGCTGACGAGAACAATGACACAATGTTTTCCAACTCGTATGCAGATGATTTGTATCGTATGAATATGTGTATAGGAATTCTAAGCATAGAACCTAAATTCCTACGAAGGACCAGTTTAGCTCTTCTAGACACATCGATTTGTATGTGAACACATTGCTAATAATAAAAAAAAAACACTAATGAAATTTGGATATTAATATTATTTTACACTCATGTGTTACATTACAATTATACCATAAGTATTATTCAATCCGGTTTTGCACTATCTCAAATCCGACAACCGCTTAAATAACGGAACATTATAGTTGTGTTATGTCCCAACGACCGCGAGGCGCATACATGTGTAGGTTAGGTATGTTGGTATGAGATGATTATGACCCGCGTTGAGAGACGAAAATATACAGTTTTGACGTTGCGATTGTTTAACTTATGCGTTTTTTACGGTAAATTATACGAATTACGAAGAAAGAAATGTTAAAATATCTCCTTGTAAAGAATTACTAAATAAAATTGAATCTCAAAATTAAATAAACTTCAGTTTTTTAATGACAGCAAACATTTCCTTACATAAATATTTGACAATGATATGATATTGAAAATTGCCGGCCGATAACTTCTATTGAGTCATTAATGTGATTATATATCATAATAAATGTTATATTTTTATATCATAAATTAATTTCTATGTGAATTAAATTTGACAGAGGTTTAAGTTGTTTTGATGGAAAACCCCTAAGAAAAATGACATTGTAATATCTAACAGTAAATGCTGTATTTTGTAAATTTAACAAAAATCTCATTTCTATGCCAACACAATATGGTATATCAAATATAATTTTAAAACTTATTTAGTATAAAGTGGTCATGTACATTAAAATAAAAAAGGCAGTGTTACAGATTGAATTTGATAGTATCCCTTACTTAAGTATAATATAATTTAATCGATTAAAAATTTAAGTATAAATTAAAATATACATTAGTTAATTTAGATTTACTATAATAAATCAACTATTTAAGTTTGGTAACTTTTATTTTAATAAAAATTCAATATGGTATTAATACATTTCACCATTCTCATTCAAATCGGTAACATTAAAATACTAAGTATTTTATATATTTCATTAAGTTATTTCATAGTCAGGTAAATAAAATCATAATAAAACAAATTTACTAAGTCTAATAACTATTAAGTGCAGGGGCGTATTTAAAATTTTTTGATGACATGCAAGTGTAAATTTTTTTGCTGAAAACTTCCCTCAAAAAATAAAAAAAACATCAATAACAACTTTTATTACAAGTCCAGGGAGATCATTCACGTAGGTTCTTTGATTAAGTTAGGAAAATTGACTTTAAAAATTTTTATTTTAATCAGAAAACTTTATTTTAATTATTGTTATTATATTAACATACTTTCGCTTATAACAATTGCGTACTTTCTTTTTGCAAATCGTGACCTTTATATAAATACTACTATTAAATTAAATTTTACTAACGTTTTTTTAATGAATTTTAGTTTATACTACTTCTAGTTATGACAGGCAGACATTTGGAAGAAAAATAATAAAAATAGACATTCACAAACAATTATGGGTAATTCGTGTTTTGTTGTTTAATATTCTTATGTACATTATGTGTTTTATTACGCACCTAAGCAATATTTCTTCTGTAAAATTACTCGTATATTAACAACTATAATGAGGATCGGTGCAAAAACTGTAGTAAATGATTTAGGTCATTGTGCAGTACTCGTTGCTAGTTCATGTATGTTTATATGACCAGTAATTTAAACCTCAACACATAGACTAGCAGAAATTTATTATAAAGATGAGTAAATTATGAGAAAATAAATAACTTTGTTAAAAAATTTAATTTTCCATAAAAAACACACAAAAAAACTTTGTACTGTTAGAACATAGTTAAATTAATTTTCTCGTGATCAAAAAAATAACAAACATTCAAAAATTATCCTGAGCGTAATAAATATTTTTTAAATCTATCTGATACACCTTTTATGTTTTTAAAATAAACTTGATTGAACACAGTCTTAATATGTTTCTATCAATAAATTAGTATACTATAATTTGAACACGAATTATTAATTTTTATGAAATTATAGTCTCATTTCTAATATAAGTGTAACACATTTTGACTTGTTGCCATACAATAAATTACTTATTGTAAACAACATAATTTGACTATGAAATAATTTTTCATGCTAAATGTACAGGAATATTTTGGATCTTATTTTAATGACCGAGTCGCTCACTATCAATTATATATCTTAATGTAACACAATCATAGAACTGATAATACATTCCATTTAATATAATAATTTTCTAATTAATAAATTCACTCAACCATTCGTTATCCCAAATCGAAAAAAGCGAATACGTTTCTTGGGCGTGTACGTCACTGTTATGTATGAAAAAGACTCCGGTCAAGGTCAACATTAATTCACATCGTCAAAGACTTCCTAGTCTCTCTACACTACTAAAATCATCTATACTTTTTAAATAAATGTATTACCTTTTTACAATCGATAAGTACAAAATGTCGCAACTTTACGATTTTTTATATACGCATTTAAACGCCTTTTCTACTAAAACTGATTTGTCAATGACAATAAATGTTTATTTTTCTTCAGATAAATTTAAATCAAAATAAGCACTTGTTTTATCCGCAGGATTTTAGTTTTCACTGGTCGTGATTTTCAATTTGTTGATCTCCCACAGACGTGACTAACTGTAAGTTAACAACATAATTACCATTTTAACTGTACATTATGTTATGACAGTTATGATAGTAACCAGCAATTCTCACAAAATCCATTTTATCTTATAATATCTGCTCAATGTAGAATACAGTTTTTTTTATTTAATAATATAATTATAATATTCAATCTATTAATAGCTTCAGTTAAACAACTAGTCTTAAGACTATCCAGCTCTTAAAAATCCTACTTTCAACATTAATTTTAACTTTATGTTTATAAGTTCATGATAATGAACATTAAAAAAAATATTAGTCGGTATGTATAAATAAAATACAATTTTAATTATCATCGGCGTAACAGGAAATTTGATGAAAATGTGTGGATATATTTTAAGTTACTAAAAATATCTAAAAACATATTTTGAAAAAAATTTCAAAAAACTAAAATGAATTATTAACTAACCATTTATAAAATTTGCCAAGAGCTAGAAACAATGACGTCAAGGGGTATAATTTTAAAATTAAGAGGGCTAAGCCCCCCAAGCTTCCATTTAATTATGCCAAAGGCAATATTAATAATCCGTGTCCACATAATTACAATTCTATTTTGACAACTTTTTAGTTGAGACCTTATTTTCTTAAAATAATAATAGTAATTATTAGTCTTATACATAAATAAAATAAAACAGTAACTATAATACACTTATGAATAGAGCTCTATTTTAACGACTTTTTACTTAACATCTTATACGATTAAGACGATAATTAAACTATAGTATTTACTCACATTTATTAGTAATTTCCTACGAATGTAGTTTCAATAATTACTACTAGCTAATAAAAAAAAAAATACAAAATTCAACCAAATTAAACAAAATTAATTTGAAATTTTGGTAACTGTAACACGGACGAATCAAATTTAAAAATCATTTACACGCAATTTAACGCTTAACTTTTAAAACATTTTTCCGTGCGATCATAAAAATTAAATGTAAACAATTAAAAGTTTCGCACGGGTATACCGGACGTATTGAACACACTAACCGAACACCGTACAGAAGATAGACGTCTATGCGAACGACAGCTAACGGGTTTTCTCTACCACTAACTTGCGTGCTCAGTCAGCAACAACATCTTATACTTCGATGCTGTAATTTCATGTTTTTTTTGCCGAAACAACTTGGATGTAAAGTATTTCATATTTAATCACACTACAGTTGTTTTATTCTCTAAGAATAAATGTGATACTTATTATTAATAAATAAAAACACGAACTATAGCAAACAGTTCATATGTTTATATTATTTACAAAAGTAGACTGGCTAATGCACTGCCCGTGGCCGGTACATTGCGCTATGAAGATAAGTTGATAAAGACAACACGCTACAAAAATTGTAGACTGTTATTTTTAATTATATAAAGTTTATTTGTAAAATCATATATATTCTGTATAAAAAAAATATTTAGTACATAAACTGCAAATAAATTTTGTTCTGTGGTTAATTATCAAAAGACTGATACGTCGCTTTTAGCAATTTTATTGCACAGCAAAAACATAAAAAAACCAGCACAGGGGGATCGCGGCACAGTGAAGTGTCATAGTTGGGTCAAGTATAGTGATATCTGACAGTGATTAAAATCTGTATTATAAAAAACGCTTCGATACAAATCTTTAGATAGTGTTTAATTAAAAAAAATTGGTCGATTGTTCCAAAAGCTACATGATTTCCTATATCCTTATTTATATCCTGATTACAAGTTTTATGATTTATAAGTGTAATATATGAATATATATACATTTATAATATATAAAAAGAAATGATGTTATTTTTAAAAAAAGTACGTCCAATAAAAGAAGTATATAAATAGTATTTCTCATAAAAAAATTGTATTGATCCATACACTTTTCAATAAGTTATGGCATTATAAAGTTAAAAATGTAAAATACAAAATCGACAATTTTCACACTAAAATAGCATTCAGTAGCCATTTTCATCGCGAAAACAAAATAAGTCCGATTTTTTTTGCTTGAGGATATATCCATGTTCACAAGCAACAATTATTCAAGCAACAAGACAATCCATGAAAGCTTTAACACATCCGATTTTTTTTTTCATAATACAGTATATTACATTAGCTTTAGTTTAAAATGTATAAAAAGTGTCAGAGTTTCCGGAACACTTTAAAAAGTTAATTTTTTATGAAAAAGTTGTCATTTTAAATCCTTCCCTGTGGACAGGTAAAGGGTCAGATTTATAAAAAAAATTTAACAAATGGTAGGTAAGGATATCATGAATCTATAAAAAAAAGGTTATATTGATTTGGTCATTTTTAAAAAAGTTATGGCAGTTTAATTAAAAAAAATTTAAACAATGTCAAAAATTAGCATTTTAAAAACTTTAATTCTTTGGAGATTTACCCCATTTACAGGCAACGAGAGAAATTTTTTCAATTTTTGAGGGTAATGTCTTCGACTAAATACGATTTGTGATCTTTTGACGTATCGTTGAAAGAAATTGGTTCGGTGAAAGCTAAGAAAATGTGGTAACACACAAAAAAAACACATCATAGTAAAATTAATACCTTCTCAGCTTCGCACCGAATCTAAAGTTGCATTGTTGTCTTATGAAAATTGATATTTTTAAAGTGCAAAAATAAACTGTCCCGATAAAATTGACTGGATATTTTTTTTTTTTGCATATCAGATAACAATCTCTTGGTTACAAATGATTAAAAATCTTAAAAACAAAATTTTGTGATCTCAGTTTTGCATAAGTGTCATAAATAAAAATTATTTTATACATATTAATAAAAAAAACTCATCATGGTAAAGTTAATACCTTCTTAGCTTCGCATCAAAGCTAAAATCACTGTTACCAGTAATGCTACCCACTTAAAAAGTATTAAAGAGACATAATGTCTGGAGGAACAAAGCAGTACGGTCACAACTATAAACGTATAAGTTACTATGATCTATGAATAATTTTCATAGAATGATAAGTATTATCATAGACCTTATATTATAAGATCTATGAAAATCATCGTCAGCGATCATTGCAATCATTTTCGTTATCTACAGACGTATATAAATAAATTTTGATATCTATAATTATCCAACAAAATACTATATTTTCTGAATTATTTTAAAATTATAATTTTGACAACAATAAAATTGTTAAAAATTACAACATGAATTTTATTAATTTTTGTATGACCAAACCAAGAAATGCGTTCTATTTTTTTAGGAAATGCTAATTTTGTGATAGGGGACTTTTTTAATTTGGTTTTAATTTGCAGTAAACTGAAAACGCATCGTAGGTGAATTTTAAATAAAAATTCTAGCAAAATACTAGAAAACTAAATCTTCCGTTACATCTATTCCCTTACACAAAAAAAAAAAAAGATTCTACTGTTGAAAGATAAAAATTAAAGGCGTAGTCATAACAAATGTTTTTACTAATAAAATAGCGTAAAATAATGACTGTTTTTTAAATAACGTGCATTTTGGTTAATATTTTAACTAGTATTATATTATATTAAACTCGTATTTGTTGATTAAAAAAAGGGGGCCTAAAATGATGTTCTTTTACCGTTTAAATATTTTTACATAACAAAAAATATACAAAGAAAAAAATAAAATTCTTAATTTTTTATATAAAATCATTATCATTAACAGTTATTTAAATAGAAATTTTTTGAAGGAATTACATAAAAAAATTAATTTATTAAAAATAATTATTGTATGATTATGACAGATAATAATAATCAACCTTTTTTTTTAAATCTATTTTAATTATTACAACTATATTTGCGATCATTTAATTAAATAAATACATGTAATTCTAAATATATATATATATATTAAACATTTTTAACTTATTTTTATTGTTTAGGAAATAGTTAGAATTAACTGTTAATTTTTATTTTTGAATCAATCCAATCTCGGAAATGGGCTACATTCACATAAGCTGCGGGTACTTTGTCTACCCCACAACTTATACCCCAAGAAACAATTCCTGCTTGTACCAAATAATTTGGATCTTCTTCAGATGGACACATTAATGGACTTCCGCCATCACCCTTAATAATAATGAAATAAATATTAAATCGATGATTTGAATTAATTGTTCTTTATAAATTAAACAATCTTAAAATAGTGTGCTAAAGAAATTTTATCCTTATAGGCAATTTCTATATCATCACACTATATTAAGAAGTATAAAAAATTTTATTTGGCTTATGAACATTAAAAAATTAAAATTATTATTTTATTACTCTGCAAGTATCTGCTCCTTTTTCACCACCGGCACAAATGAAACTTTTATGTAGCTTAAATTTAAGACCCAGTCTTGTTGCACGTAAAGCTTCTTCGCAGATATCACTTGGAATAATTGGTAACTCAACTTTTTTTAATATACTCACTTGATATTTGCCAATATCATCTTAAAAATAATTAAATAGTCATAAAAATCTAGTTTAGCATTAATTTTGCATAAAAAAATATAAACAACATAGCTTTTATTACTTATTGTGCCTTCCTTGGTTTTTCTTATTATTGTATAATTGTTAAAAGACACTCCTTTTCCCCATCCACTTGAAAAACAAAATGAATGATCAAATATTTGATTTTGTTTTGGTAAACACATAGTTTTAACAGTGTCTTGTAAAGTGAATGGTTCATCTAAGAATAATAAAGCTATGTCATTATGAAGTCCTGGAGCATAATAATTTTCATGAATGACAATTTTGCGTGCGTAACGGTTTTGATGTAAATAAATTTCTTTTTCAGTTTGTAAATCCCAATCACCTGCTCTGGCAACTATTGTTGAGGGTTCTTTTCTAATAATAGTGATTTTCAATAAATAAATTAATTAATCAATTAGTCAATAAGTAGTAATATAAATTATAATATTTTTTATAAGTATTAAAATAATTTAATTTAATTAAAAAAAAAAATCGATTTTTACATCAATTTTTAATGAATAAACTGATACATAATAAATATATATATTTAAGAAGTGTTTTATATTGTTACAATAATGTCTTCTCTTTTTTAAATATAGTTACTTAGGACTTAAATTAATTTTTTTTACAATTAATGTTATACATTTGGTAGTCAATATTTTCTTACTGAAATACACAATGAGCCGCCGTTAATACAACCCTTTGTGTTATTAATGATCCTCCGCATTTATAAAAAAGATTTTTTTCTCCAGAATTTGTAATTTCCTCTCTAAATATTGCTATCATTGAAGGGAATTCAGCGTATTGAGATTCTCCATTTATAGCATTAACAACTTTGAATCCTAATCCTTTTTTATTCCAATTACCACATCGCTCTTGATCATTAATAATCTCATATTTATTCGTTGAGGAAGTAGATTGGCCGTATGAAAATGTATTACTATTATTGTATTCTCCATTTCCATAGTTATTATTGGATCCATGTAATCCATCATAATTTGAATTTAAGTTATTGTTAGTATTTGATCCTGTAATAATAGTATTTTTTTCATGTTGCCCTAGACTTGTTTCATTGCAACAAACGTCTAAATAGCTCGGGCATGGACCAAAATTATTCCTGAAAGTTATTTAAAAAATATAGTTGACTTTTTCAATTAATATAATATGTTTTCTATTATAAAACATATCACCTAATATCAATTTGATTAAGCCCATCTTCATCAGATACAAAAGTTGGACATTGATTGAAAGGTTTACACGTACAACCTTGTTCATTATTAACTTCTAGCTGAGATGTTGGATTCACTACTGACATTTCCTTATCAGATGAGGTCAAATAGCCTAAAAACCCGAACTTTGCATATGCAGAAGTAAACAGCTCTGTAATCATAGCTATACACGTGACTCTCAAAGCTTTATCCTATATATAAAAACACTACACTTAATAATTTACTAAAATAATTTTAACTAGTAACTTATAACTTACAATAAGTAGCTTTTTAAAACTCGCACTTGACAATATGTCTATTCTTATTCTTCTTTGTTGTTACAAACATAGTAAAGTAAATAATAGCATTATTTATTATGCAATTTTAGCGAATAACATAATATCAATGAAAATGCTAATGTTTTTCAACATTTTATTATAAACAATGTTTTTCTTCTGTAGCTATCACATTCAATTACACTCAAAAACTATTTAACTTTTTTTAGATCTTATGTCAAAAAATCCTTAGAATAAAAGTAATTGAATTCATTAATATTTTTATGGTATTAGTTTTTAAATAAATCAAATAGTGTAGTGTTTTTATGATACAGAACAAAACATAACTCTCGTTATTCGAGTCACCTGTGTAACTTAAATCACAGAAGAATTACTTAACTCAATACGTGATCACTATGTTATAATGTACTTTATTTGATTAGTATAATAAATTTTTGTGTAAGGTTTATTTGAAGAGCCTCATTTAGATATTTTGAGGCCAAAGACAAGATTAAAATTGTGGCCCCTTATTTTATATTTTATTCAGCGAAATTTCTATATTATATTTTTAAAAAATGTTAGATATAAAAATCTGAGGCACCTAATAAATGCATAAGCAGTTGTCTAATGTGCTCAATGGGAAATATGAACCTGTTTATTTAAGATAATATTTTTCATACAACTATAAATCATAACATCTGAATATTATTTTTGTTTAATTAATTTATTATTAGAAAATTACAACAATTTAGTTAAATTAAAGTCAACTAAACGTTTTTTAACTATTTATTTAAGGTTATCAATTGTCTAGCGGTATATAAATATTACTTTTAAAAATCAGCAAAAAAAAAAATATCACTATTATAAAAAATACGAATAGATAATACTATAAATTTATTAACTGTTAGCAGATATTTCATCGTCAATCCAATCTCTGAAATGAGCAACGTTTACATAAGCAGCTGGTATCTTGTAAATGCCACATCCTACTCCCCAGGCCACTATACCAGCCTGTACCAGGTGATTAGAATCTTCTTCAGATGGACACATCAATGGACTTCCTCCATCACCCTAAATAATAATATTAAATCGATGTGTCAAATACTAAATTAATCATACTTAATATCAAATTTTAATTAAAAAATTGGTTAGATAATATGAACATAGGTAATAAAAGGTATAATCAAACGAAAAAACAACTACTTAAATTATAATACTTTTTTAACATTTTATGGAAGTAACCAGAGTGCATCTTTAAATATATCATAATATTTAAATACACATATATTTACTTTGCATGTGTCTTTTCCTTCTTCGCCACCGGCACAAATGAAACTTTCATGCAATCTGAACTTTGGTCCAAGTCTTGTACTCCTAAGAGCATCTTCACAAGCATTTTTTTCCACAATCGGTAGTTCTACTTTCTTCAAAATACTTACTTGATAATGACCAACAATATCTAAAAGAGTATTTATATTATATTAAATCGCAATATATTAGGAAGACGTGTGTCATACTTGTTGTTCCTGCATCAGTTGTTTGAGTAATAGTATAGTTGTTAGTAAATATTTCTTTACCCCAACCACTAGAATAACAGTACGCACGATCAAAGTTTTGATTTTGTTTTGGTAAGCATATAGTTTTGACAGTTTCTTGTAGTAAGAATGCCTCGTCAGTGAAAACTAGAGCTATATCGTTGTGAAGACCTCCAGCATAATATTTTGGATGAGTAATAATTTTGCGTGCATGACGATCTTGATGCATATAAATTTCTTTTTCAGTTTGCAAATCCCATTCACCTGCTCGTAATACTATTGATGATGGCTCTTTTCTAAAAAAAAATTTTATTTAATTATTAATCAACAACATCCACTTATAATTTCTAAAAACTATTTAATTTTGAATTAACATAGTTTTTTTAATACAAAAAAATTAATAATAAAATTAAAAATTAGCCTTTAGCTATTACAATTTAAATTAATATAATTATTAAAAAATAAAATTAAAAAATATATATTTACTAACTGAATAACACAATGAGCTGATGTTAAAACAACATTTGGCTTGATTAATGATCCTCCACAATGATAAAATAATTTTTTTTCTCCAAATAATGGATTTTCTTCTCTAAATATTGCTATCATTGAAGGATACTCTGCATATTGCGATTCACTATTAATAGCGTTAGTTATTCTAAAACCAACTCCATTTTTATTCCAAATTCCACAAGTTTGTGTATCACGGTTAGTTTCATAAGTATTTGGTGAAGAGGTGCTGTAACCACCATTTGTATGTTGATTATTATTATCATTATTATTATTATAATTATCATTATTATTATTATTATTATTATTATTATTATTATTATTATTATAATTATCATTGTTATTATTATTGTTATTATAATTGTTATTATTATTATTTTCTCCTTGTCCATACGATCCAGAATTTGTATTAAAGTTATTGTTGGAATTTGTGTTGTAGCCTGAATTCCCGTTATTTTTCTCTCCTTGACCTGTGCTACTAGTTTCATTACAGCAAACTTCTAAATAGCTTGGACATGGGCCAAAATTATTCCTAAGCAAATAAAAAGAAAATAATTTCAATAATTTCAATTTTTTTAATAAGTAACTAGAGTTTATAATACAAGTAAAAATCAGTGGCGGATTTTGGATATTTTGACAAAGAGCATAATTAGTTTGAATGGGGACTGTAAGGGGTTTAATCTTCATAAAAACAAATTAGTCCCTCCAATAAACATAATTTTTGGAGAAGGGAGGAAGATAAAGCAATATGGTAGGGAAGCACAAATATTTAAACTTATGAAATAGATTGACTGTAGCCCTCATACACAATTTTTTTAAGTTACATTCATAGGATGCACTCCTCAACTGTAGGTTTGGGCTTAAAGAAACATAAAACACAAAAGGACTAAATATCTTTACTATATTGAACGTTTTATCTATCGATAAAATTACAAATATTTCAATTATATTTAAAAGGAGACGCTAGCTGGCCATAGATAAAGGTTAGAAGACTGAGTCCTCTAGTGCCTTCCATAATTTAAGTCCTGATATAAATTTTAATCATAATAAATAATATACACTTACATTTTTATAACTATATAGGTAAGTGGTAACCGTAAATTTATAAGATTAAATGCATTATGCTCTTAATAATACTATTCCTATTTACTGTACTTTTCATTTAATATAATATTAGTAGTTATGTAGAGATAAACTTATTTCTACATCACTAAATATATTTTAACCCTTTTAGACCAGACATATTATTTTAGTAAAAAATTATTTATTTGATAAAAAGTCTTTGAGGGCTATGAAATAACGATAATTTTATTGATATTGTTATGATACATACACTGCCCATTATTTATTAACCATATATGATTTATTAGATTTTTTTACATTATCATAAGAAATATAACTTAATGTGAATTTATGTAATTACTTTTTAAAATAATCTGTAATACTTAAACAACTGACTAATAAAGAGATAACAGTTATTAAGTTATTGGCAATTTGTTCATATATTAACAACTTAAATTTCCTGTAGAAATCCTAAAACACATTTATAACCCTTTCAGTTTGCTCTAAATTTTCGGACTGTTCTTACAAATTATCAATTATACATATATGCAAGAAATAATCAGTCACATTCACATTTAATGTGAGTTCGACTGATTACATTGTTTAATGTAAATTTTACATTAAACAATGAAAAACAAGTTAATTTAAAACACTGATTACGAAATATTCACTGAAAATAACAAAGTAAATATTAATATTACACCAAAATTTTTTAAGTTCAAAGTAATTCTGAGTACATTAATTAAGTAGGGACAAAGAAAAATCAACTAATTATTAAAAATAAAATATTAATTGAATTAAATATTCAAGATCAATAATGTTTAAACAGAGTAAAATTTAACGAGTTAATCTTTGATATGTGTCTATTTCAGAAGCCCAATTAGTTAGAGGTTAATATTTAGCCGTTATACTACTCTGGATAGATACTTAAGGTGCTTCTATTAAACCTATCATACATATATTTGATTAACTCGTGGCATTATTGATATTAAAGAAAGTGATAATTAATAACAATAATTTTTAAATTAATAAATAATGATCATTACATTTTTCTATCATTTACATCATTATTATGAAACTCCCCGAGTAGCATTATATTGATTCCCGGTCGGATCGAGCAACTCACAAGTGCTGGGAGATTTCAATGTTCATTAATGAACCGTGTAATTTTTAATAAGTTCGAGGAAAGTACAATAAATAATCGAGCAATTTTTGGTAAAAGTTAGGACCGTTAAATGTTCAAAATAATTGTAAGGTTCCACTTAAGTTCAGGGTTGCAAATAGTAATTTGGCTCTCAGTTCAAATACCGTTCACTTAATTATTTCAGTTTATTAAAAGCGCGCACGCACTCATAATGATATCCTAATGGAATAATCATTATAACGGTTAAAACCATTCATATGATTCTATTCAATTGTACTACTATTAGACAAATTATAGCTTAATTCATAAATTAATAAAAAAAAAACATTAAATTAAAAAAGACTAAAGGATCTATTCATTAAGACAAAACGCGAATTTAACGAACGAGTGTTAGGAGAAATAACAAGAAGTGTCAGTAACCGCTGAACAACAACAGTTTTAGTTCGCGCGATTTTAATTTGATATTTAATTTACTGTGACATTTTTGCAAATCAACAACGATTGTTTTACTTTTTTTGTGAATTTTTTTTCGAGACAATCGACATTATCATAGCGACAAGAGAAATGCCAGACTACCGTTTTTCACTTTACACATTGACTTTTAACTCAAAAGCTCAATAAAATGTAAATACTTTTAATAACCAACAATATTCATATTCATATAAAATACAACCAATATTTTTATTCTTTTCTAAATTGCAGTTAAATAAACATTGGATAAAAAGAGATGAAGATGATGCAACAACTTATATTCTATACAGAAGCGATCCTAGTGGTAAATTTTAGGAGGTATGAAATGAATTTTATACATTTATGCACTTTTATGAGTACGAAATTTCAAAATTTATTCTAAAAATGTCGACTACCTGTGACATTGATAAAAATTTGGGGAATGTGACATCCCCACAGAAGCGATATGAAATCGCCCTTGTTTTTATACAGCACATTTTGCCTACCCTCCGTCCATCTGTAGTATATTACCTGTATGTATTACATTATGTTCATGTTCATGCTACATGTTCAAAAAAATATAGAAAAATAGGTCAATTATTACGATCAATTGGAACTCTTTTCCCTAATTTTTGAACCTCTATATATTGTATATAAATATATTTACTAGTTTAATGTGTGTGTTTTTTTTTAGATGTTATAACTGACCAAAATCACAATACCTGATCACGAAAGATCATTTAATACCATAATAATCAATATTTTAAAGCATTTTGGCAATAATAATGCAAAAGTACCATAGAAATAGAATTCCTTCTTTTTTTTATTATTCAATTAATTTTCTATTTGCTAACAACATTATTACTATCTATTATTATTAATTTTAATTAAATTGTATGTATAGATTGTTTACTAATTACATTTAATAATGACTAATTTGTTATCATATTATATATATATATATATATATATGTACGTGTGTATCATCCGCATATAATAAATATTTTTTATACAGATGATGCATAGTGTACATAGTAAAACAATATATTATTTTAAAATTATAAAATTTTGAATGTATACAAAATCTATAAATTTACTATAAATACCGTACTGCTAATGAACTCATGAACGATTAATGAACTGTCGTTAAGCATGCTATTATTGAACCAATAAACGACTATTGAACTGTTATAGAGCTTTTTATAGTTGAACCGAGGAACGGTCTATGAACTCTTAATGAACTTTTGTAGATCTCAGTTCACCCCCTGTTAAAATCCGTATTCAAATTTCATTTTGAACCGTGCTATAAACAGGTTTTGAACTGAGTTCAGCACCATTGTTACTATGTTAAAAGAACCTATATGAACTCGAATTACTACTCGGGTCTTGTATTCATACCCCGAAAGATTTATTATTTTAATTAATACAGAATTTCTCAACCCAACATAATTTTTTTAATAATACTAATATTTTCCTTTTAGTTTGAGTTACTATAATATGAACCATACATATTTAAGATTTTGTTTTGGATGGGAAATTTTTTTACTATTATTCAAACGAATTTTGTTTTTATAATATTTCTTCCTTGTCTCCCTCTTAATGATTATCTGTATATTAATATAATATTTTTTGTATAAATTATATACATAAAAGAAAAATGTAAACATTTTAGAGTAGTCAAATATATAGACAATTTTTTTTTTTTTTAATTAACAAAAGTGAACATTTTTTTAGGTTTTTATTATTTTTTCATTTTACATTTACCTTATATCAATTTGATTGACACCATCCTCATCAGATTCATAAGTTGGACATTGATTAAAAGGCTTACAAACACAACCATCATCGCTATGTACTGGAGGGGCTGGTGTTGTGACGGGTACAGCTATTTCTTCATCAGAAGAGAATATTGAGCCTAAAAATCCAAACTGTGCATTTGTCGAAGATGTAAGCAAAGCAGTAATTACGATTGTAGAAAAGATTCTACTAGTTACGTCCTATAAAAAAAAAATTCATTACACTTACAAAATAATGAATTTTGATATGCATAGTATATGTATGACAATTTAAACTATTAAATTACGGATTTTTTTTTTTACTTTCAAAAAGTTTTAATCATCTTTATATTTTAATAAAATTGAATGGATATACAATTTATCTTATTTTCTATAAGTGCTGTCTAATTTAAAATAAACGCGTTTAAATCCACTTTTATTTAAAAATATATTCATACTTAATCTCGGTGGGTTCGTTTCATTTGGGGTTACTCATAAATATATGGATCTAAATTTTATAATATGTATAGTCACTTCTAGGTAATTATAATACTATGCTATTATTAAGAATACAAAAGCAATCTTCATCTATGAATTACATAATTTATAGAACAATTCAAAATAATAGATAAAGTTTATTTTTAAACATCAAAAAACCTTAAATTTGAAGGGTTTTGATACGATTATCAGACAATTTTTAGGCGGATGTAAGACAATAATAATTTACATCCCTTAAATAGCATTTTATGTGATTAATATTGAGATGTTGGTTTGTTTTCTGTGTATGGTAAAATAAATTATTTTAATATTTGATGTTTTTATTTAATAAGTTTTTTATTATAAACAAAAGTTTTATTTAAAATTAATTTTTTTATCAAAATACTGCTGATTTATTACTTTTATAGATAACGCGGCATTTTGATACTTTTCGTAAATGTTAGCGATATTTTAATTTTTTTTTAATTTGCCTAAATAGCGATACAGAGTAAAAAATGTTTTGATGAGTATTCAAAAAGGTTATCAAGGGCCCTGTTTTATGGACAGGCATAAAAAAATACACCAACACAAAACAATATATTCAAATTTTTGCATTAACGCTAAAAATGATATGTCAAAATTTCCTCTATTATTATAAATAACTATTTATTGAGCACACAGTAAATCTTACCCTTATCATTTATTTGGTAATACTTTATTTTGAACACATACTTCGTAATACATTATATGTTATTAAAAAATTAATAAATATTGAAATCTTTAAATGTAAATAATTAACCTATTAGATGATTCCATAACAAAACAATTGAAATAGAAGGTAAACTACATTTGGCAAAATTTATTGATTGAAAATTTTACATTTTTAGATAATAATAATTGTACTTACCATTCTTTAAATTGAAAATATTTATTCAGTCTTACAGATTATTTCTGCAAGACAATATTTACTACAGGTAATTTACAAAAAAAAAAAATCTTTAAGTACTTAATTTATTCTGTTAATTTCAATGTGTAAGTATTCAACTCTATAAATAAAAGTGTCAATATTATATTAAAAAACGTATTAACCCAACCTTAGACTACACTCGTGCTAGCGTCATATTAAACTGAATACTGCGAACTGAGACTTCTGTGATTAATTGTTTATAAGTAGCATTGAGTTATAGCCACAATCTTGAAAAACATGTTTTTATCAACTTTTATTTTTAAAACAGTAATCGGCTATCCAATTATTAGAGGTCTTGGTCAAGTAACAATAAAATAGTATTACCTACTGTTATGTTCACAATTTTTGATTACATATTGGACTTTATACGATAACGTTAGAAGCACTAAGATTTAAAGCATATCTTAATTATTAAATATTTATTTTATTTCGGTGAAATACACTTTTTTCATCAAAACGTTCTAAAAACAAATTCCACTAATTAAGTAAAACTTGTTGATAATTGAATACCCAGAGCTAACATTTCCAAAAAAAAACCTTGGACATTTTGATATTAAGTATTACATAACCTATTTAATGATGACACATGATATTTTCCTGATTAAATGATATGGTGAATAAAATAAGTATAATAATTTTGTACAGGGTTTTTAGTTGTTTTTTTGGTTAAAGAAAGTATAATGTAATTTAGCTATTAACACTCAATAATATTTGGGTTATGAAATATTTTGGAAAATTTTTTTTTTTCTAATAAGTTTTTGACGCAAATCTAAATATACTGTTAGTTTTTCTCTACTATCAATATTTTAGCCAAATTTTTAGTATTTGTAACTGTTTTTAACATAAACTTTTAATTAAAAAATAATGATTTTTTTCAATACTTCATAATTATGTTTATATTGTCATGATAATTTGTGCAAATTTTAAAATCATTCTATGTTTCATTTTTGATGTAGAATTTTACAACATTATTAAAAAAGGTTTAGCTGAATTTTTGTCTATAATTTTTTTTATTTATGTTAAGTTGTTATTATTTTTATTATACCGATAAAAAATCTTATGATGATTCCAAAAATACTAAATTGATTTCATTGATTTTTTTATTTATTCAATTTTTAGTTAATATAATCACTATGAATGTTTAAAAAACTTAATAAGATGAAAAAATTCATAATTATTGCTATTTTTTTATTTTCCTATGACCTATGAACTTTTTATGATGATATTAAAAGCAAAATAGAAGACAGGAAGGAATGGAGTAGAATTGTAGGAAGGCAACACCAGTCGGAAGTCTGAGAAACCTAAAAAAGAAGAAGATGAACTTTTTGTAGTAGAATGCTATGGAGAAATCTGATTTTGAAAAATTAAACGATTAATTGTAGTATATAAACCCATTAAAATAGTCAAATTTTAACATTAACTGAAATAAAAATACATAAATATATCACACTATTTTTTTATAAAATCCATTCAAACAATTTTTTTTTAATAGTGTTCACATTTTTATTCTAAATCAAACTCCACACATAGTCACTCACGTTAGCTTTGTTCCATTTTTTCTGATGTTTTTGACGTTGTTGCTTTATAATGGTGGATTCTATGGCCGTATCATTCACTTAGATTCCCTAAATTAAATTTTGAAAAATGTAAATGAGAAACTAAATCACATAATTTTACAAATATTTGAATTGTGTCGAAAATATTGTTAGTAGAGAAAACTAAGGACGTATTCAAAATCAGAATCAAATAACCTATCAGGAATAAAAAAAATGCATAAATATTCCACGACCAAAATTTTAACAAGCTGTGTAATTTTTAAAATTTGTAAATATTATATTTTGTAAACTTTAATACAAAATCTAAAAAAAACAGTAAGACCCGCACGGGTCACTCGTGTAACAAGTAAAAAATCAGACTCGGTAATATTTTGAGATACTCTATAGCGGGAACCCCTTGGAACTTTTCGCAATATAAAATTTAATTTTAATATTATTTTTTTGAATGAATATTTTATTAAATATGTTTATTGATGACGATAATACTATTTTTTTTTTATATAACTTGTTAACTTTTTCTTGCGCATGACATTATAATTTTAAATAAATACTAGGAAGAAGTTACTAAAAAATATCTTTATTTAAAAGTAACTTAAAATTCTAGATGATACATAGTGTAAAATTGTTATTTAGTTTAAATTAATTGTAAAATTAAATCTATTAAAGAGGACTAAACATAAACAAAAATTAACAAGTAACTTAGCATAATAGGTCTAACTAAATATAAGGCCAAATTTTCATATCTAGAAATAACTGTATCATGAATTTGAGAGATGAGCATTTATTTCGGAATAATTAAAGTTAATAAATTGATTTAGAATGATTTTAATTTAATAAAATAAAACTTAATCAATAGGGTCAAGATTCTTAGTTAAACTATTATTTTAACATAGCTCTCCAAGTCCTTAACTACTTCAAAAATATATATAACATATTGATTTGTACAAAATTTATAATTTTACTTTTTAGTAATTTTTTTATTGTAAAAACCTAGTGAAGTGAAGTGTTTTTTTACTGGTAAAACCAGTAATTAAACATCCAAGTAAATGAACCTAAAATAACGGATACTTATATGTTTTGCGTTATTATCACATTTATAAATTGAATATTAAGTTGCTAGTTTTTAATTTTAAATACTTGTTTAAACTGTTTTAAGTAAAAATATTAATCGTACTGATGACCTTGGCACTGGTAGGTTTTTCTCACTTTAATTAGGTAGGAAGTATTTTTCTAAATATCTAATCATGCATAAATATACGAATTTGATATAAATATCTATTTAGAATAAAAATTTATATATATCCAAAATTAATTAGAAAATATTCAATATTCAATATATCAATTATAAACATAAACCAATTATATTACAATCAAAATTAATTGTTAGTTCAAAAAGATATAGTGACATTAATTAAATTAACAAAAAAAGATGTTAATTACACACAATGTTAAAAATTATTAACTAAATGATTTACTTCACCTTTTAGCTTCGACGGGAAGCTGAGATTGTATTAGTTTTACTATGATTTAAATTTTTTGTGTCTGTTACCATTTTCTCAGCTCTCACCGAACCGATTTCTTTCAATGATACGTCAAAAGATCACAAATCGTATCTAGTCGAAGACATTACCCTTAAAAATTGAAACAATTTTCCTCGTTCTCTGTAAATGGGGGAAAACTCCAAAGAATTACAGTTTTTGAAATGCTAATTATCAATATTGTTTAAATTTTTTTTACTTAAACTGCCATAACTTTTTAAAAAATGACCAAATTAATATAATTTTTTTTATAGATGCATCATGTCATTAACTATCATTTGGTATATTTTTATTATAAATCTGACACTTTACTCTTGCCCACGGGGAGGATTTAAAATGACAACTTTTTCACAAAAAATTAACTCTAACACTTTTATATATATTTTAAATTAAAGATAATGTAATATACTTTATCATGGAAAAAAAAATTTCGGACTTTATTTTGTCTTTACGATGAAAATAGTTACTGAATTAAATTTAATATCGATGGGTCACCACGACAAACCAGTATCAGTTTTAGCATACGGACAGGTTAGGTAGCAGCCGGTACCATATTGTTTGGCTTTTATTGAATGTTACGTTCAGTTTTTATTTAAGATTTTTGCGTAGGATATTAATATTAATGAGAAAAATAAAGTAATTTTTTGTTTCATCACTATCAAATGGTATTCGCCCCCAAGAATTTTTGTCTCTTTTAACCACCCCTAAATATGGTCACGTCGTTTTGAATAATTACTTATTTTATCACATAGGGTATAACTTTATAAAGAAAATATTACGTATTACCTAAGGTAAATATATTATAATAGATAACTATCTTAAGTATGTATATATATATATATATATATATATATTTGTAATAAATAATAAAAATATAGTTTATAAAAAAATAAAAAGTCATCAAAATATTGAAACAAAATTCAAATATTAATAATAAGCTTAGAAAATATCTATTACGTGTAATAATATAATTAAAAATAGATCAATACATTTTTCGATAGTTGTTGGAAACTAATTTCACAAATTCAAATCGGTTAATTTCATTTTTATTAAATTTTAATCTCCTCTTTTGTTTTTTTTTTTTAACGGATTTCAATTTTATTCCGTACGCTTTTTAAGACAGCATTATAGAACTATATATTTTAATGTAATTATATGATTGACACATTTTCTACTAAATTTTTTAAAAATATATCAATAAAAGGATGCGCCTTATAAAATTGTTCATTAAAATGTGAATGGAACGATTCACAATTATCAATGCACCGCGCTCGAATAACAATAAAAAATTTGATTATATGAATAGTAGATGGTTATTATAGGGTTATTTTGGAAAATATTTTAACCAGTGGTTCTCAAGCTTCTATTTATAAACAGATATAAATTATCGGTTTGGCGGAAACGATGGACGCTCCTTTTGTATATATATATTTTCTTCTTACCACTGTAATATTTTAACTTTAATTGGAAGCAAAACATATCACTGCGTTTAAAATAAAATTCGTATTTTATACTCACAATATTAAAAGACAAGATTTCAAAAAGCAGTATTTATCTATACAATAATATAAGATATTATATTAATTTTCCTCATAAAATTTAAAAAAAAATGGTGAAATCTGATTGGGGGTGCTAATGTCATCTCAGGATATGTTAACTAGCCAAAGTACTATTTGAGTCTACGCATAAAGTATCAAAAATTCGTACAAAAATCTAACATTTTTTATCACTACTTCTACAAATTTTCTCTTACATAGTTTACATTAAAAACTTCCAACACATATATGTGAAAATTCGGACATCTTTTTTAAGAATTCATATAATTATTATGACAATTTTTTACAACTAAAATGAAATTAATTATGGTACAGTAGAATAGGGTAACATTGATTATATTATTATTCTTTTTAATTTGCCCATATAAACAAAAGGTTTTGTTTCAAAAACTATTTCAAAATTACTTATTTTAGAGCGAATGCTAATAAAATTAACTGTTATGTTATGATATTAACTTTCATCATATGTTTAATTACTTTAGTCTGCGTAATAATTATTATACTTAAATTTAAAATATATAACTTTTGTATTTTATGGTTTAAATT